CTCTAGAACTGTGGGGTCCGACATCAGCTCCATTGAACCCCTCAGTTCTGGGGGTAGGCCTACTTGTTGACGGTAGTAATGTCAGTAATAAATGGTTATTAGACATGATCAGTCGATCAGCTAGTCAGTCAACCCAGTCATCAGGTCACATGCCTGCATGAAATTGTCCCTTTTTTTAAAAACAGTCTTCCACAGCAATGAATCAAACACCTGCTTGGCTAATGGCAGATGATAGGCAAACGGTAGGGCCTACAACAACAGATTGCACAGCCGTGCAAACCAATTGCACCCAGCATGGTCACGGTGTTGAGTTTGAATTAAACAAATCTGCTAGTGTCTAGTACCATGGATTAATCCCATGCTGCAGATACAGAATTGGCCATTCTCTGTCATGTCTGTGTAATTGCTTTGATCTTGTAGTTTAAGGTGTCCATGTGGTGGCAATCCTTTTTTACTTGTTTCCCCTTGATTTGACTCTGTCAACTGCCAAAAAGTGTAAGAACGTCAGATTACATGTCTTCTACAAAACAAAGGCAGTGGATATTTGTGAACCAGTTGCACATGAATCTATGCGTTTGATCACAGCTAACGTTACAGTTGGCTGTTCTCAGAGTGCTGATAAGTTAGGGTACTCGTAAGTGTAGTTAGGAAAGATGCTACAGCAAGAAACTGGGTCGCACCTACCCACCTTCTAGTTTTGAGAAGTAGACCTGAAACAGGCCTGGAACTGGCGTATAAAGAATTGTTGCAGAGTCCCAATGCACATAGAGTGTTGTTACCTAAAACCCCCGATATTTTTAGAGCGCAGACTTTTACCGTGCCATATTATCAGTAGATTATAAAATAACAAAATGACCTCTAGCAAACTTTTCTGCTTTGTACAGGCCAGAAAGCAGAAGGTTGCAGAGTCTCTTCGCAGCATCCCTTCTCCAATGGGTAGAGTCTCAAGGCTGTCTCCTGCATCTAAGACGCGGAGTGTGGATCGTAAGAAAGATGATATGAACAGGGATTATTGGGATTTCAACATTTTTAGTTTCATTTTGATCTTGTTAATTGCTACTCTACAGGCTAAGTGGTGGATGGACTTGTTAGAAAAATAAACTGAACACTGAACCTAATGATGATTTGTGGTTATCTTTGAGTTTATTTGATGGGGAGGGTTACATGTAGATCTGAGTGTCTAGGATATTTTATACTAAATTAACTGCTTTGCGTTGTTCACCCATGAATGATTACTTTTGCATTTTTCACAAATATTCATTTTCCTTCAGGATTAGGTCATGAAGATGTTGATGTGCATGTCAGAGACAAAACTCGTAAGACCAGCAAGAATACTTCAGGCCAAGTGATGACTGAACCACCCACAAAGCTCAGCAAGGGCGTTAAGCCTAACACCCAGAGAGGCACCAGAGAGACCCTGAAAAGACCTTCCCAAGTTGAATCTCCAGAGGCCAGAGTGGTGAAATCTCGTAGGACAGGTAAAAACCAGGATGATGTTGGAGTGCTCGCTAAGAAGCCCAAGACTAGAGTCAAGACTCCTGCAAATCGAGAGGTACATGTATCCAAGCAGCTGATGAAGGGTGGAACGATGACCTCTCAAACCAAGCAGACAACTACGAAACGAGGTTTGTAGCAATTAATTCCAAAAGTTGCTATTTAATTACAAGAAGTAGTGGACGCTTTAAGTCTGCATTTATAAACAAGAATTGAAGATTTTTTAATTCAAAGAGCCCAGTAGCCGATTTCTCAAATCATTTTGCTATGGCATAACTTTATTCATGCCACATTGTTTTGAGTAAGTTGTGCAACAAATGATGACACATTTTGCAAAGTTTACACACCTAGTAAAGCTGTGACTTGCACAACATTATATGGCATATTTTATGCATTCATCTTATGTGATGTAAGTTGTACCAAGCAAATTGAAAATGGACGATTTTACAAACTGATGTCATTCGAAGGCTCACCATTGCTTAACGTTACAATATTACAAAGAAACAGCTTTTGTAAGAGCTGAGATTTTCATCATTTAAGATGTTTAGATAGCACCTTACCTAGCCACAGGGTACCCAACTGAGCAAAATTGAATGTAAAGTATATTGCATATCTTTGCCAAAACTTTACAGCTTACATACGGTGCAAAGTTTGGCCACATTTTGTGAAATTGGCTGCAATGCTCCACCTTATGTCGTCAGAAAACTTAATGACTGAAATTTGATTGAGTTAGTTTCATTGACTTGTTGGTCTACACGGATAGCTTTTATGAAAGCTGCTTTCTAGTAAGTGCATTTCTGGTTTGTTTCCTGTCTAATACATAGCAAAAGGACCCGTGCAATGAATTTTTTTAGACTCACTTTTTGTGCATGTTCTCTCCTTCAATGTATAAAACTGTTTCAAATCTTTTGTGAGTTAAGTGTATTGGAAATTGTCCATGCATTTCCAGACAAGTGAGGGCACTGTTGCTATAATGTAAATCAGTTACGGCACTCAAATTTCGATCTTTTGTAAACCAGTAAGTAGCCTTTTTTCAGAATTGTGTTCAAAGAGCAATTCTTACAAAGCAAACAATTGCTAAAAAAAATGGCAAATTAAAGCAGTGAAATAAAAAGATGCCAGCATTTTTTGTGCACAAATCAATATAACATTGACGTGATTGAGGTCAAGCGTCTTAGATGACGTCACGGTTTTGCTCATGGATGTATAAATTTGCCATAGTACGACAATCAAAACAGCTCCAAAATACAGATTAGACTAACGAAACAAAGATTTCAAAGGAAGGTTAATTGAAACACAAAGGGGTACATGTACACATATACTTGTACAAAGTACTTTCAATATTTGTAATAAAATGATTGTTTTGCTTAGTTCCTTTAAACCTGGGGTGTGTAGATCATTCCAGGCTCACTTATGCAGGGTTCACATAACAGACTGAAATGCACTTATTTAAAAAACGACTTTTATGTATGCACTGAATCTTGTGTGAAACTAGCCACATGACTTTTTTTCTATTCAAATGTCAAAAACAAGGTTCAAAGGGACAGAGCGACTTGAGAAACAAGAATCAGAAGGCAACGAAACGTTCCTCAAGTGGAGAGAAGACGGAGCGACATGTACCTGCTAAGATCAGGAAGGTTGTTAAACCTAACCCCCAGAGAGTCACAAAGAAGACCTCAACAAAGGCTCCTAAATCTAAATCTAAATCTAAACCTCCTGACAAGAAAGCAGTGAGAATGCCGGCCAAGAAGTCCAAGTCCAAAGCCAAGACTACTGTCATCCGAGTGGTTTCCAACAAGCCTAAACTAAAAGGGCAAGCTGTGACTACAAACCAAGGTGTGTATGAATTTATTGGCAGATTGATCCGGGCACATTCATCCACAGTGCTCTCTGGAAGGCCCTCAGTAATGTTGCAAGTACTGTTCTAGCTATTGGTCGATTTTATTAGCAGCAACTGGCACTATGCTAACTGACAGCTGGGTGTAGGGGCTTTCTCATTGTACTTTGATCACATACCTACATCGATTGTAGTAATAGTGACGTACATGTATCTAGGGTTAAACTTGGATTGGGGGCACAGATTTTTTGGGATGCACTGAAAGCTAATACCCTTCAGCTTATGCATTTGAGGATCTCAAATGGAAGGGGCCACTCAGGGGCAGGATATACACCTGATAGTTATGCCACTGAGTTGTAACATGCTTTTATTACTTGTAGTCTTACAGTGTAACACAAAACTGCATTACAAAATGTATTTCGAGAATTGTATCTAGTTCTATCCATGATAATTCCCTTTACGTTGTATTTCTTATTTATATTTTTGTTACCATGTAAAGCACACTTTTTCACTACTGTATTCCAAGATGTGTATAATTGCTTATGGATCTGTAGCCAATTACGGGAGACTCCAGTACATGGCTATTTCCATTCCTTGCCAGATATTTTGAGAATCATTGTTTAATGTTTCTATAAACTGTGACCTCTATGTTTGTGTCTGAATTAATATGCCTAGGCAATGGTCTGGGCTGTGGTTTTTTACACAGGGATCATTTGTGGCACTGGACCAAATCCCCTGCCTCAGTTAGAGTTAAGTCTCCATGAAAGAGAAGATGTCTTGGTGGGGACTCTTACTCTGCTTCAATGTCAGATTCACGTTAAGTTTACCTACATGTAATAGTAGGTTTTTAGCGGGCAAACAGTAAAAAAAATAGCCAAAGTATTAGCTGCAGGCACATTCTTGTAGCCACTTTCTTTTCATATACAGTGCTAAATACCAGTACCTTTTTTTCACAAATTTTCAGGACATGACGTGTTAAAGTGGTGACATTTTGTGACAGTGGCAACTTGTCACAGGAACCCTGAATAGTGAACAGCTGCTTTTGGCATTCTTTCTGTCAATGAATTTAAACCTTTACAATTGTATTTCAGTTAAGAAGTTCACCACGAGGCAAAATGCAAAGAGCAAAGTCAAGACCTCCACTAAAAAGGGAGGGGCTGGTAAACTTCAAAGGGGAGGTAGGAAGGGGGAAAAAGCAAGATCTGAGAAAGCTACTGGCATAAAGGACACAAAGGTTGTCAAGACCAAGAAGGTCAGCTTTGGAAAGCTTAGTAGTCGGCAGATGGTGGCCACATCCAACACCAAGAAAAAGACTGTTGCAGGGGACCTGAAAGGAAAGGGGAAGCTGATGGTCGAACCAAAAACGTCCAACACCAAGAAAAGGACCGTCACTGGGGAGGCAAAACAAAAAGGGAAGCTGGTGGACAAGCCAAAGAAGGCAACCAACAAGAGTGGGCTTCAGGTGAAGGGGAAGAAAGTGGCTAAACATCCCAACAGCAGACTGACACCAAACCTGAACATTAAAGTAGTGGACAAGGATCCGATGTTTGAAGTCAAGTATGTCCTAGTTGTAGATTAAAGTCAACCTATGTCTGTGTTAAGCATTTCTGAAAGACTCACTTTGGAGTCCCCAGGTGTGGAAACGGATTATGAAGCCTGTGCCCAATGAGCCTATCCAAGGCTGAGTTGCCAGTTGACACGTATACACGTACATCCTAATGGTGACTGTGAGTTCTGAATTTCAAAATAGTAAAATGCAGTGTCTGATTGGCATGACCTCCCAGGAGGGTAATGCAGATTTTTGAAGGTTATAAGTAAGTGTTTCTTGAAAATGAGAGTTAAAGAACTTGTCATGTTGAATTACAGAGCCTGCTGCCATTTGGGGTTGAATGTTTATCAAGTCAGTCTGTTTGTCATTGCAAGTGAATATTTCAGAGGATAAAAGCAGACTTTTTGTGTATTTGTCATAGGAATGAGAAGGAAATTCCCAAAGTGTCGGATTACGTCAACTGCAAGCGGGCTATCCGCGCCGTCTTGACCAAGGACAACGCCCTCTTGAAGAAATTGATCAATAACACCAAGGAGATCCCTTCTTTGTTCGTCAGGAGAAGTGTGTGTCTGCAGGATGACGCCCTGGACTATGCCCTCAAGACGGAGAACACCGACGCCCTCAAGCTGCTTATCGCAGAGAAATATTACAACCATGACAAGCCACGCAAAGCAATGCCTGACCAACCATATCCATCGGACTTCACAGGATATTCAAAGTGGGTTCAACTGGAAATCACTCAAGTTTGAAGACTGGACATTTAGGTTTGAGCCCGTCAGAACCTTTCTGAAATCTGTCTGTTTTGGAGAAAGATTCATCGGGGGTCAATAAACAAACTCAAATTTTCATCATGAAATATTCAATTGATGTATACAAGCACCGCATCAGCACCCCTTCCTGGTTGCTCTGCTTCATGCAACAAAAGGACGTCTCTTTTGCACTGAATTATGTCTTGTTCCTACCTTTGGCAATCGGTATTCAAGGCATTAGTACATATATTTCCAAAGAACGTATCACTTGGTACCCATTCATAATATGATCATTATTAATTGATTTCTTAAAATTTTATCTGTCCCTTCTACAAAGGCATTTGGATATTGCTTAATGTTTGTCTTTTTTGTGTGCTTTTGACATAATGCCATGTTTGGATGATGTGCTGTGATGGCATCCCATGCAACAGACCCTGTAAAGAAGGAAATGGTGCTTTAACCAAGGTAACAACTCAAGAGTTTTTGTGATTATCATCAGGCAGATTAAATTCTCAGTTCTGATTGGTCGATCCACGGCAACAGCCATTGTGACATATAAATGAAAATTGCGCGGTCCATTACAAACGCTACATAATGCGTTATTCAAACTCAACACAATGCGCAATTTTTGCGCTAAAAGCAAAACACACAACTGCAAAATTTACTGTTAATTCAAAGGCGGTGTGTTAGCGCACTGAGGCCCTTATGACATTTTTACTGTTCATCAAGTTTACTTGAAGAGAAAAAAATCATGCTCGTACTCGTGAAACACAGACGCACTACATTGTTCTATGTTTTCTGCATTTTTAGCTTTATGCCTACCTCACCAGCCCCAGCCCAGAATTGCTCCCTGAAAAATAAACTTTTGATGACCAAACCCCCCCCTCCACCTGAACATTTTGCCTCCATTTCAAGTTGCAAGTATGAGCAAATTTGATTCAAAGAGTCAGAAGAGCAAAGTGGGGATTATATTTAGAAGTAATCATTTCTTTCGACACAATGACCATTTCTATGTGCAGAATACATGTATATCTGTTAATGTTGTACAATGTATATGGTTTTACTGAGATCAGTTCAAAAATTGTTTAAATGTGTCTTAAATCTTTTTATTCAGGACACTGAATGTGAAGATGACATCCAAAATATTGTACGATTTGATAAAGCTTTGAACCATGGTGTGTCGATTGATGCCATCTCTCTCTTAGCCGAGGTGAGTTTTTTTATTGGGGTGGGAATGTATGAGAATTGTTGCACTGAAAATGTAAAAATATGTACAGGTCTTTCCTGTATCTTGGCTAGTTCACGGACTTTCCTTCTAAGCGTCAAACCAGTGAAAGATGCATTTATGCTGAGGTTTTGTGCAATGCTCACCTTGGAAAATATCTGACTCTTCACTTTCGCCCAGAAGCAAATTCACTTGAAAAGTTTGAAAAAGAAGCAGCCTTGTAAGATACTGGAAATCTGATATTACAAAATGGTTAAAGACATCAGACACACATAAACTGCTATGTTAGTTGCTGAAAATGGAAAAAAATTGTTTGCCAGTTTACAGAAAGGCATAGAATGCCTATTGTGAATACAGGAAACTTGCAAGCTCAGGATGATGAGAAAGCTTGTATTTGAAAGGCTTTCTGCAACACAGTGGAAAGATTTCTGGTTCAAGGATATGGTTCTGAGAAGAATCTTTTTTAGGAAAAATTTGACAGTTCAAGTCATAGCGTAGTATAATAATTTTTGGTGACGTTTTGTTGAAGGGTTCAGGCTGTGACTGTACAGGCATGATTCATCGCGCTGTGAGAGCAGGCCACCACAAGTTGGCCTCACAAATGATGAAAAAAGTCAAAGGTCGTAGAGGGAACGGCTTCATCAAACTTCACGAGGAGGTAGAATGATAGTTATAAATATTCTTTGCATGCGGAACCCCCTCCCGCGGAAATTTCACATAGTTCAGTTGAAGTTTAATCAATGTGCAAAATTGTCCCAACCATTTTAAGGTGAGACGCTTCCTTGCTTAACTTGATGGCCATATTATTTGAGCAGCTAGCAAAAATAAAAGAACTGCTGTATTTTGTGTATCCTGTGGGTTGCCGGGCTCCTTCGGAAGTGTTGTTGTCTTATCTTGATGGGCATACATTGAAAAAGGGGAGAGGTTCGCACAAAGATCGTGTGAAGAGGTCATGAAATTTTATGCTGGTACAATTTGGTATACAATACATTCCCTTGTGTGCTGCTTAGATCACACTGGCCTCCCTTTGAACTGTTTTTCTTTGGTCAAGTATTTTGCTATATTTGAAATCTTTCTTTTTAAATTAGTGCCATTTCAGAAGATTAAATAAGGGAATAAATATGTGCTTGGCCGGTCTTAAACGCATGTTAAAGGCCACCTCAGGAGAATGGACCAGACTAATGCCCAAGCCGCAGGTGAGGGCATTATCAGCATTCAGTCTCCTGAGTAAGGTCTTAAACATTAGTTTAAGATTCCCATTCATAAATACCTTTTTATTCCGAGAGTCAAAAGAAGTCAACAAATGATGGATTTCTAACAATTTTATTCTAAAACTTTACTTTCATTTTCCTGAACACCCCTGTCCATTTTATGGTGTATTACTTTTGAAAGTTGTCCAATAGAACCCCCTTCAATGAACTTGGCGCGCGCTTGGTGCGTCTCGTGCTCACAGACTCCTGACCAATCAGAACCCATTAAACTGTCTCATATCCATGTGCCAGTACGTGATTTACGCAGCAGGCATTATCACTTCTCACTGGGCATTTTCACATGTTAATACGCAGTCACATGAAACGTTTTGACCAATAGTAATAGAAAAGCTGTCCCAGGTATTTATGGGTATTTGTTAAACATGGGATAAACTCAACTGACTCAACACAAACAGACAAAAACGAAGAATGTGATAAGAATTCAAAACAGTCTCAATGCTTTTGAAGTATTTCTGGTGTTGATGCTCCTTCTGTAACGTTTTGTTTTGCTAATAGGTTTTGTCAGCCACAAAACCTGAACAGCTGACTTCTTTTAAAGCTGAAGTAGTCACCAAGAAATCCTACAAGAACCAGAGGGCAAGTATACATGTACATTCATTAGCCCTGACCCTCCCAGACCCATGAAATAGCCACTGGGAGATTTCAGTGGATTATACCGGATTGAGGAAGGCAGAGACTGCTTACATGTTCAGTGCTTGGAGCTTGCTGTCCCTTGCGAGTTCTAAACAAGATGGAGGATTTTGGAAGATTGGGGAAGGTTCCTGCAGTAAAATGTTTGAAGTGATTTGGAATGAGTTATTAACAGTGTCCAAAGTGGTCACGGACCAAATTGGGAAATGTTTTGAAGGATTTGGAAAACTGCTTGAAACTTGCCTTACAATAAAAAAATTGAATGCAGTGACAGATCAAAGAAGGAGAGTAAATCTTACGTTTAGTACTAATATATTTTTAACTTCTGAAATGTACACATGTATATCACAGTCATGCATTTGAATTGAATATAATGAAGGAAATCAAATACATATAGAAGCAGAAAGTGTAAAACCTTAATTGCTTATTGTTTAGTGGCCAAAGTAGTTGTAAATTATCAAAATTGTCAAAATAGTTGTACCTACAGTTGGTTGCCTTCCAATCCAATGATAAAGTTTTAAGCATGGCATAAAAATAATCCTCTCTTATTTGAGCAATTAACACACCAACATGTGTTACCAGGGAGATGATACTTTCTATTGTACAAATTGTTCATAGATAACTCCTCTGCACTGTGCAGCCATCAACCCCAACCCTAAGATCATTGCCAAGTTGTTGACAGTGTCACCAGACGTATCGTTTCCCGACCAAGCAGGCTTCACTCCCATCCACTATGCCGCAGCATGCAAGAGCAGTGGTCCCTTGGAACTCCTGCTGAAAAGGTATCAATCAAATTGCAGGATAGAACCCCCTAGGGTGTATGTAAAATCATATTAAGATAAGAGGATTGAGGACAGATAGGGTTAATAACAAGGAAAGGTTTGGTAAGTGACCATTAACAATGGTAGCAGAACAAATTTTTAAGGGGGGGGGCTTTTGTGAGATATCAGGCATCAGCCATTGATGGACCTGCCAAAAGTAGGGAGGGGCATTACCCCACTTTGAAAAGGTTGGGGGGGGGCAGTGGTGCCCTGGTGCCCTGCTGCCACCAGTGACCATTAGCCAATGGTTAAATGTTTAATAGTCAACTACTGTTAATTTTGCCAATTGTACATAGATTACCAGCTGAATGCTACAGTACCAGGTTAGCTAATGATCATCGATTAAAGTTGTCTCTGCTTGCAAATTTCTTCCACCGTTTTACTTTCGTGTTTAATAAGTGCAGAGAGAATGTTGTCATTACAAGAGTCTGTGCTGATATTTTCCAACAAACTTTTGAACAACAAGAACAATGCACACAAACGTTTTGATGGCTCAACACCGATGCCTGTGCTTGACCTTTGTTCTTGCCTTTTCTTTTCAGTGGTGTGGACGCTGAAACGCCACAACCCAAGAAACTGGTAACCCCACTAATGATAGCTGCAAAGCATGGCCGGACTAAGAACGTTGAAGTTCTTCTCAAGAAAAGAAAACCTAGTGCGTTCAGACATTAATGACAACCGTCTTAAACCCTAATATTACACACAAAAATGCTTAGCATAACATTGCAAGGCACCTGTCCAAAAACTGGTAAAGGGGGCGGGGAATAGGGGATGGAAGTAGGAAGAAAAGGAGATCTTGCATTGCTGCCTTGTTATTAAATTTGGATATGGCCACCTTTTCCTTTTTGGAGAAAGTGGAGAAACTATCAACGGAAATTATTTGGATGGTTAATAGATATTCTTTACACACTTTGACTCAGCGGTGACGCCGTCATTATGCTAAAAGGGTTCTAGCCAGGAAGTCAAACCCTTATGAGCTTAATCCGATGCTCGATGTCATTTATTGTCAGCATCATTATAGGTCAGTTTCAGGTTGTGTTCTATTTCGTATTTTGTACCAGTTTCAGCTTCTGACCCTCACCCGACACCACCAAAGAGGTTGGGGGTGACCAGGATCATCAAGAGCAAGCACTTTGCCATCCATTATGCTGCAGAGGGTGGACATGTGGTATGTCATTTGCTAATGACAAATTTAGTCGTCCATACCAGGGGCTGCATGTTGCTCTGAGACAGAGGTTGTTGGTAGCACCACGTAATTAAGGGCCCCGAGCTGGACCAAGAGAGGGCACAATTTTTCTTGCCACGAAGGCTCCTCTGGTGGTAACTGCATATTGCTGTTTACAACAAGTGTTGCAGTCGCATTGCTACCAACAAAATGAAGACTGCCCACCAACGTGACTCTTGTCAACTGCTGAGGGGTACTTCTGCTCAAGGTGGAATCTCTCAGGACACGATGGACAGAACTTACTGTCTGGAAACCTGAATCCTCCTTGTCCTTACAAAAGGCATTTCCTGTTACCCTTAGGGACCTTTGTCTCATTGCAGTGTCTATGTCCAGAATTCAAACCTTCAAATCATATTTGCTGGGGTTTTTGCACTTTATGTGATGAAAAATGAGGCAGGAAAGATATTTGTTGAGAAATTTTTTCAATTTCCCTTACATTCCCAGTAGATCCAAAACATGATGGCATCGTGCTTTGTTCACATGTGTGCTTTCTTATGGGGGATCAGTGGATTGTGTCCCGCGTCAATGCTACAGGAAAGCATGCATAACAAAGCTCGACATTATGTTCCTGGTCTATGCCCTGAACTTATGTCAAAAGACATAAGCATTTTTACCAACCAGTTTGGGGCAAAAATTCACTTTTAACCACTTGCTGCCGCGGAGCCCTGTTTTGAGCACCCTGTGTTTATACGCAGAGCTGGGGTGCCCAAATTGGGACAAAAGAGCTGGTCCGTGCAACATAAAGACCGTACTTTGAACAAAAGACCTGCTGCTGGGAAAGGCCATCATTTTTCGGCTTGCATTTTTTGAAGGTAATCCACCACTGTTTTTAATCAGTATACCATTGTTATGGGCATAGCGTGCCCGCGGATTAGTACCGCAGACAGAAGTACTCCAGGGCCCCCATTGATGAGCAACACAGCATCGCTGCATGCTAATCCAGCCATGTTTGAAAAGACGCCACTTCCATTCCCTGGGGACAAAGGAAATTACGCAACATCTCACAGTTCTGGCTCTATTTACAGGGTGGCAGCCCTGACTGAAATGTTCAGGGGTCAATGAAGGTCACCTGTCAGCTTAGAGTATCCTCGAAAGAGTCATTCGTGCGGGTGTAAACGTCCATTAAATGAAATTATGAATTTTTGAAGAATTTTGAAAACTGAAAATCTTGAAAATCGCCCGTTCGTGTGCAATGCAGTTTTAAAAGCACCCGGCAGCCTGTGGTATTGTTAATTATTTCGACTAACTAGCACATTTTTTGTGCACTCTACATGTACTTAAAAATATTGAACAGTGGGGGTAAATTCAGGATTGTTGAATGATGAACATAACAAAGGAGATAATTAAAGGCAAACCAGACAGCTGTGGTTGTAATTGGTAGAGTGCTCAACCAGTGGGTTACTACATTGTAATTCCTCTGCATATCTGTGGAATTCCAGGACTGTGTCAGGAGCCTAGTCAAATATGGAGACGCGGTTGACATGAAGACGTCACACAAGAACAACAAGCTGACACCACTCATGATTGCTGCCGAACGGGGACACCTCCAGCTGGCCAAAGTCCTCATTGAGGAGCTGGATGCGGAGATTGAGAAAAGAGGTTGATGCTTTTAACTTTTCAAGGGCATCACTGTGCCTTCACTATATTGGTATCGGATGAATTATAAAAGGCCAAAATTTTGAATTTTTTGTTCTAAAAAAATTGTGTCTGTGGAAGTCTGCGATGGCATGTCAGGCGGCCTTGAATCCAAACTTTAAAAACCCTCCAGGAGATTGCCAGACCACACACTAGGGACAAGGCCACTATGTTTGCAGGCTCATGTTTGTCAGTTGTAAATGTTGGAAGCTGACCTCATCAAGGAATGGGACACTTTTTGAAAATCCTGGCCTTCTGCTCCTGATTTTCTTTAAAGACCTTATGCAAGAATTATTTGTATTTGTTAAGTGTGTAAATGTAAGGGTCCTTAAGTTTACATTTCCAATTAAAATTCTGTCTCCTATGTATTGTCTATAACCCCTGTCATGTTGAACAAACGTGTAAGTTTACGTTTGTTATGTAAATTCCACCATACAATCACCTTATATGTTTTTTTCTTTTTTGTTTTAATTGTCTTTTATATTATTATGTAAATTGAAATGTAAGCTTACCTGTGTATACTGATTAATCCTATCTATGTCACCCTTTTTTTTTTAATTCTGTTGTATTTCAGCAATTCAGCCCTTGGGCTTCTATTGGCAGTTTGAATTAAATAAACCAGCAATAATAATAATAATAATAAAAATTTGGAAAGTTAAAAAACATCTTCACTAATTTGACTAACCAGATAGGTTCAAGCGCACCTCTCTGATGCTGGCCTGCATGAACGGTCACTACCCAGTGGCTACTCTACTCCTGAGGAAAGGAGCTAATCCTAACGCCAAGGACTCCTCAGGAAACTCTCCAGTCCACTATGCTGCTGCTTATGGCTGGTGGCACTGCCTCAAACTACTCCTCCAAGCTGGTGGGGATCCAAACATCTTAAATACAGACGAGGTATTGGTACCACTAATCAGACTTTTGTCATCATAGTTTGGGTCGTAATGTGGCAATTTTTACATTGCGACAACTCTGAAGTGTTGCGTTTTTGGAATAATGTGATTTAAGATTCGAAATTTGCGGCAGACTTGTAACGCCGTCTTCATTGTCAGTCATAACCCCCCTGTAATTTGCACTTGCACACTATAAGATGAGCATGAATTGGAAAATAAATAAACTAAAATCACTTTGTATTAATTTGGAAATTTCTTATGCTCAATTTATTCGGGGTTTCCCCAATTCAATATGAGTTTGGCTCAGGTTATGGCAATTCACTAACAATAACTCATTGAAATTACTGAATGCCCCGTACTTTCTATGCGCTTGAAAACCAACGGACATTGAGGCTTTGGTCACAAGATGGCCATTTCTTATTGTACTACCTGAACTCACATCATTTCGTGAACACTCTGAAACAGGAAGGAGCCTACTTTGCTATAATTACATGTAAAGCCTCACTTTTAAACTTTCAGTCACTTGGAAATTGAAAGTGACATAACTTCATTATTCAGAAGTATCCATGGTAACACAAGGATAGTTGTCTGCAGTCTGCCCCATTGTGTCATCTTTGTTCCCAACATGAATCAAGTTTTAGAACATTTTTACAGATTGCCAACATTTTCAAGAGTGCTAAATTGTAAATGAGGCCAGTTTGCAGTAACCTGATGCAGAGATGTCGTTCCGCTCCAGTTGTACAATACCCAGATAACTCCCCTGGGTGCTGCCTACATGAAGGGCCACTTTGGGTGCGCAGAGCTCCTGCTGGGCCACCCTGGGATAAACATCAACCGCCGAAACGACGAGTGTGAGACGCTGCTGCTGACGGCATGCTCAAAGTCCACAACTGAGGAGTCACTTAGACAGCTGAAGCTGTTCGTTGAGAATGGAGCTGACATCCACGCATCAGACCTGCATGGAAGGACACCCTTCAGAGTTGCATTAAAAAATGTAAGGATCTCATGGTTTTCATTTGACCCTGCCATTTGTGAATCCTGGGGTCCAATGGGGGCTGTGTCCCCCTGCTGAAAAGGGGGGGAGCAATTTTTAAATTCTTTTAGAAGGGAAAGATGATTTTTTGGGAACTTCATCCTCGCCTTTCCTTCACAAAGCATGTAGAAAGCCCCTAAATATAGCCTCGCCCCTGAGAAAGGCCATAAAATGTGGAATCAAGAGATTTCAAAAATTTCTTCAGCTCCTCTCCCCCCAAAATGCCCCCCCCCCAAATATGGTTCTCATTCTGCTGTTGGATTCACCTGTAATTGTGAATCCAGCTAGGTTAAAGGATTTTTTAAAATCCTACTGTACCTACATTTCAATCATATGATATTCTGTTTGTAGGGTATGATCGACTTGCTGAAGTTTTTTCTGAGTAAGAACGCCAACATACCATTGGATGAAGACATTGCTGGTGACAATTTACTGCACTTTATTGCTGGGTCTCGTATTGACGCCTACGATGAAATCTTCAAGTTGCTAATTGAGAATGTGAGTCCAATCTCCCTTCCCCTTGCCGCATTCCAGAAACTGCTTCATACAACAAGAGAATATTGCTTAGCAACTTTTGATAACATGCTTAACATAAAAAGTAGCCGCACACCTGTCAGTGGCAATGTGCATTAAATGGACTGTTGGCTGGTCATGTGTTACATACGGACACACCAAACAATGAGAGCCCTGAGCATCACATGCGACAGCAAAGCAAAATTATGGAAAGAGCCGTGGGATAGTACGGAGCTCTTGAAGTGCCATCAGATTTTTTGAGATTATTTTTGGGATGATGACATAATAAGGCAAGATGTGAACATCCTGAGATAATTTATCACGGGACGACGACACTGTAAAAAGTTGGATGACAACACCCTTTATCCATGACCTCCTGCAACTAGCGCAAACCTCTGAACCACTCAACCACCGAGCTTGCCAGGCTCAGCTGGCTGGTCCGAGTCAGATGTAGCAAGGGATACCACAAACTATAACCAGATGTACTTTGTATCGTGAGATGTTAATTCTAATATGGGTTTTGCCCTAACACCTAATACTGGTTCAAACCATATGCATGCACGGTACATACTTTCCCCTACCCCTTTCCCCTTTTTTGTGTCAGGAATGCATGATGTTTTACATCAACAGCTACCCTAACCTTAAGTCTTAAATGTCGTCATTTTGAGTTACTTCCTGTCCTGGTACCCAAGTTACTAAGAATCAGTGATGTGTTCTTGGGCTATGTATTTGTGCATTTTCTCTTCAGTTAAAATGATTAATCTTGACAGTTTTGAGGTAGATTACATGTAGCTGTATGTGTAGAGTGCAACGGCCATCTTGGAAGTGTTCCTGGTCTACTCATGCATATCCATATGGAATGACAGGACGATTTTCCAAGGTGGCTTCCAGTGCTCTCGATCTGTTTGTCACACAGTTTTACCAAGAGTTCGCAATGGGTTCAATCTCAATTTATAATCTTATGGTTTTTTAACAGGTCTTCTGATAGCACCAAGTATACAGTGTTTTTAACATGCATGAGTGAAGGCCGAGACAACCAGTCAACATTACATCTAATAGATATTTTTATTTCGTTCAGGAAAAGACCAGAGACTGTAAAGGTGGCAAGCGGACGCAGAGGAGTAAAGGGTCAAAGGTTACAACTCTGAAGGAAGCTGCCCGGAGGAAGAACAATGAAGGATGCACCCCATTACTCAAATGCATCACTGATCACTTAAACTGGGTATTGAGCATAACACACTATACTTAGCCCTCTATGAAGTGCCAGAAAACGATGTCTAGATGAGCACAGGCAAATGCCACAGTGTGTCCAAAGAAAGTGTCGGTCTAAATATTTTTGTAAAACTGCAGAGGGAATTGTGACATTTTTTAGTTGTGCTTAAACTCCTATGATGAGTATTCCTCAGAGTCCTTCAAGGCCAACCATTTTACAGACTTTGATATCTAAGATGAATTATTAATTTCACTGTCGTTAGAAAGGAGACGAGACCTTTTGTTGCAGCAATTTTTTTCAGGTGGCATATTAATATATTGTTTATTTCCCACCTTCCCTGAAGAAATTCTGTGGTCGGCACAAGAGTATCGAATGTCCCATATGGAATGCTGTAGTAAAGGTTAGTAACTTTGATATCATAATTAAAGCATATTATAATCAAGTAAAACAAAGATATGTAATACCAATCTGCTGCAAACTGCTTGCTGACTACAATGACCTGAAATACAAATCACAATAAGGAGGGCCTGACGTTTCAATCCTAGCAGAATCTTTCTCAAAATCTTTGAGAAAGATTCCGCTAGGATTGAAACGTCAAGTGAAACAAGTTTGAATGCGAATTCTGATCCGATTTCCAGTCATTTTCGTATGTGAATACGTGATACGGTCCTACTCCAACTTCTTTTTTTCGGTTTCAAGTTGCCTCAACAGTTGACAAGTAACAAGGCTGTTGAAAGCAACCATGTTGGTTCCAAATACATGGAATAGTGTATGTCATTCAAGTGTTCTGATGTAATGCCTGAAGATGTGGTGAACAATAATTCATACTCAAAAGTTGAAACGTTACTAGTTTGTGATGTTTTATAGCTTTTTGGGAGTTTAATATTTTAAATTTTCTTCTTTTTATTTTCTGATCTTCCCCCTCTTCTGGTATTGCTGTATCTCCTAACATTGCTCATAGGCATTGATAAATCTTTGCGAATCAGACATCAATGCAGTTGTGGAAAAGGACCTTAGAAATGTGCCACGTAAGTACGGAAACCTTATCACATACAGACTAGTTCATACATTATGAAACATTTATTGGATTGGATGGACTTTGTACGTGTTCAGCTTTCAATTCACCTGGCGACTTTAACACTTGACGTTTCCAATTTTCATGTGAATAATTATGAACGCACTCTAACTCTAGGCTTGCTGTCAGTACAAAGCTCTAAAATATCTTTTATGGTTCTTCTGAGTAGTCTTCAAACGAGATCAGATAAGAATAGATTTGTTTTTATATTATAGCTGAAAACTACATTGTAGACGTTACCGTGCAGGAAGGTAGTCTTGAATACGAGCTTGTGTTAAACCAACCGATCACTGTTTACTGACTAGATTGTACCCATGCCCATCATTGTGCGCAAACAAAAGAAACCATTGCAACCGTTTTTTTTTTACCTCCCAAGGTAACTGCCACCACATTTGATGTGGCATCATGCGCTCTTTATTTTCCCAAGTTTTTGAACAATACGGGCAATAATCAGTAGTGCGCCTCGAAGAGTTTGCAATGCGTCGACCAATCACAAGCCACGAAATCTGTTGACCCTTTCCAAACGTGCATTGGGTTGACAGATTTTGCGCACTGTGATTAGTCATTGGTTTGCAAACTCTTGGAGGCGCACTATTGTGAAATGCCGGTATTATGAAATAATTTGTGGGTTAAAGATATATGGAAATTTACCTGAACACTCACGATGTATTATGAAAGGTTATACATGAACAATCAAGTCCATGCAGTGCAACCTGAAACGGTCATGATGCGACAGCCAATCATGATGGAGATCTTAAGAAGTAAACTAGATGGGTTTGCGGTATCACCATGGATATATCTCTTTTTTTGAGTATATGGGGTTCTGAAAAGAACCGGTGGTACTCACCATTTTGGACAGTATGCTCTGTCCATCGTCAGGAGATTGCAGGGAGTCTAGTGGTGAGGCAGCTTGTATTGTGTGTAGAGGGCAGTGAGGTGTGGAGAGGATGCTAACTCTGGTTCCAAGCACAGTTAGGTCCTCTAAAGATGGTACCTAGTGACTTCAGCCTCAATCTAGATGTGCCATCCAGTCAGGGTCTGTTGTTTCTGTTGGATCCAGATGGCAATCAGTGATCCGAGGTTGGATCACTGACACCAGAACCCACCTCATGGATGGAGCAAACTAGCGTTTGGGATCACTGATCGAAATCCAGATGTGCATGAAGCAAACAGGCCTCTTGTGTAAGGGATCAGTGATTAAACCCCATTTATGTTGGGAAATGAATTCACAGGAAACTCGTGTGCTCTACACATGCTTGCGTCTAAGGAACCAAGCAACGTCTTTTCAACAATCATGGCGATGAAGCCCAAACTGGATGTAGTGAATGCCGAAGGATACACGCCCTTGTTGTGTGCCATTGTTGGTCAACAAGCTCAAAATGTGATAACACTGGTATGTACTAGGCTTACATTAATGTGAGAACAGAAAGTAACATGAAGAATTGATTCCAATAAAGTGTTGAAATCTTTTGGAGATTCGTACATTTTTGTTTATTGTGATTATTGTGAATTCCATTCACTCCTTAAATGAGCATCTTTTCTTCGACTGTATTAATATTAGACCTAGATTTAGACCATGAAAACCTGAAATGTTAGGAAGCCAGGTTGGTATTTCAAATAGGCAAGGTCTTCTAGGAACAAAGCATGCATGCAAGTGGGCTCATGGTCAGCTCAGGCTGATAGAGCAGACCGTGCATTGCATGTTGCTGTTCCTGAATGACCACTGGCACTCTTCATTTTGGGTATGCGCTGTTTGAATACCAAACTGACTTGAAAATCGATTATCATGTTACTGTGGTAACGGAGGGGTGTTTTCCATTCCTTTCAGCTCGCGGCAGGTGCTGACCCTAACTGTTCAGACAAACACAATGCGCTGCTTCTGGCAATTAAGTAAGTACATGTATCAGCTGCATGTACAATGACATTGAAGAGACTCATTCATCTGTAACTATACATTTGCTTGATTCAGTGTTTGCATCAATTGAGTTCTTTACAGATGTTCATTTTGGGGAATGGAAGGTGAGCAGTAAATGTAAAAATGAGTATTGATGAAGTTTGAAAAAATTTTCTCAACATCTGGTAAATTTTTCAGACATTATGATTATGTGTCACTTCGAAATGGTCAATTTATTCACTTGTAAAAATGGAAAAAGGAAACAGGGTTATTACCATATGTATCAGTGAGTCTATACCTGGCTGAGCTTTTCAATGAAATGGTGTGGAATACATGTAGCTGGTCATGTGTCTGTGAAGTCATTGAAGCTGTGTGTGTATCTTTTTTTTCTTCTGCAGAAACAACATGCCAGGTATTGTGCCAGACCTCCTCGCTAAAGGTGCTGACATCCATGGGTCCGTGTTTGAGAACAAACAACCCAGCATTATGCATCACATCCCAGTCTACATCAGTAAGTGGCAATCGTAATTCTACTCACGGGTATTCAGAGTGAGAACGTGTGTATAGCTCAAACAAGGACAAGGTTGAGGAATGACTACCATTTTACCACCGGCCAACTGTCGGCTACTAGTGCACTTGTGCAACACCATCCTAATCGAACGACCCTACTTGAACCATTCTGCTAATCTTATCATTCCATTTTATCGGCAATGGTTGTCACTCTCTTTACATTTATGGATCACTTTGTACTGTGTACTTGGTTATGAAAAGAGCTATTGATTCCAAAATTCCAGTCTCTGGTCATTCGGGGGCAGGGTTTAGAAACGAGTTGAAATGTATCACTGCTTTCTGTGCGTAATGCTGGAGTACATATAAATCATGGAATTAAACTGGACAGCAAAAGAAACTTGCCACTTCTGTCAAAGGCCACACATAAAAATTCACTCCATAGAAGTAAACAATATTTGTACACAGGTATGCTGCAATACCCCTTACTAATCACATGCCCAAAAGGAAGTGATTATCTTCATAACAAAGAAGAAATTGACAGGCACAACAACTTGGTTACTGAATCAAAAGTCACAGAATGTAACAGAATGAGCAGTAAGTTTTACACAGAAATCAATGTCACAGGACGAAATAAAGAAGTCACAATCATTACGTTTCAATAATGTGTATGCATAGTCAGTAAGGATGGCAGATTCAGAAACCACTCATGCACATCATTTTGACAAAACAGGTGTTCACTTTGTCATTGGTTTTTTAAAATGTCCATTCATTGGTCATTTTTGCTTGGTGGAGAGTGCTTTTTGTGTGTGACTTTTGATTCAGTAACCAAGTTGCTGTGCAGGTCAATTTCTTCCGTTATAAAGATGATCACTCGCTTCTGGGCATGTGATTAGTAAGGGGTATTGCAGCATACCTGTGTACAAAAATTGTTTATTTCTTTGGACTGATTTTTATATGTGGCCTTTGACAGAAGTGGCAAGTTTCTTTTGCTGTCCAGTGTGTTTCATCAGCATTTGTCATAGAGATTACAACTTCGTGCCGCTCTCGTACATAATGTTCATCTGAAGAGAGCATGCATCTTTTCTTAATTCTCAAGAGGACTCTGAGGCCCAAGTCTCTGTAGCCGAACAGCTTGTTTCAGCAGGAGCTTCTCTGCATACGGTGGATGACCAAATGAGGAATGTCTTGCATGCCGCTGTCAACAAGATCGACCGCAAAGGGTCCACCACGTTCGTGGAGTTCCTCCTGGACCACAAACTGGACGTCTTTGCTGCCGACGAGTTAGGCAGATTGCCCATCCATTATGCATTCACCAAATATGGGTATGTTATATGGAAGAAAGACCATATTTTGTCACAATCGGTAGAGACGGCGATGGAATTTGTGCACACCGGAACCTGAACGAAAATTGTGTTGAGTGAGACAGTGGGCTGGCTAGGTAAAAATTATCTTTCAAAAATAACTTTTAGACCGTTTGTGTTGGGGAGAATATCTAACATTTTTGAAGGAGAGAATTCACATGGATATAAACTTACTTTTCCAGTTTGCACCCTCTACGAAAAAGAAGAACTTTTTTTCTTAATTGATATTCAGCTATTATTCTCTGGCTTCAATGGGTGAGCTCATCTCCGTCATACATTTTTCCTCCTGCCAGAGCTTTTGGCATGGACAAACCAGTCATGGACAGCACCACCCAAAGTTTTGATCCAAAGGAGGCTGTTTCCTTGCTGGCCACAGCCATGCAAGGCAAAAAACTGAACCAGCAGGACAAGCTGGGCCGCACACCGCTCCATCACGCTGCTGAAGTTGGGGCCCTTGACTCCATTCCATCCATCTTTGAGGTGAGTATTCATGGGCTCTAGTTACTGGTCACTGTGGTAGATACGTGACTGAATATGGTGCATGTCATTTTTGCCATTTGAAACCTAAGCAAATTCCCTAAACATTACATTGTTTCAAGCATGTTTTTAAAATGACTGACTGGTTTATTTTGTCTCTTACGAGGGTAGCACAGCAGTGTAACTTACATGGATTTCTTTTGAGAGATATTCTTGCAGAGATAAGAATAGCCAACTGTTGTGTAGGAAATGATACCCACAGTTTTTATTGGTGCAGAGACTATAGAGATTTTCTGGATTTCATTCGCAAAGGAATGCAAGGGATTTATGTCTGTAAATGTACTTCATAAAATAGAATCCTTCGTCTCAAAACAGACCTATTCATTCCGTCACCCCAATTTTCCACCTTCAGGGAATAGATGATCTCGATATCAAGGACAAGGACGGATGTACACCGCTGTCAATGGCAATGGTTTGTTCACGAGAAAGGTAGGGGTAGGTACTGATGCAGAGTGATAACTGCAAAAGTTTTCTTGACATCTCACAGCAATTTTGGGGGAATTAGGTGTGCCATTGTGTGATGCTCTGCGTAAGCTAAGCAGCACATGCTTTTCAGGATTTAGTCTCTGGCTTGCATAAATCCGAAATGACATCAAGAGAGGTTTCTTTTTTCAAGATGTATTTTTGCGTTGGGGAGATGTTAATTTATATAATGGGTTTTGCCCTTACCCAACATATATAGGGCAAAACCCATTATATAAATTAACATCTCCCCAATGCAAAAAATACATCTTGAAAATAGTTCGCGGTACCTGCTGCTCCACCTGACTCGGACCGGCCAGCCGACCCCAGCAACCTCGGTGGTCGAGTGGTCAAGACGTCTGCACTAGTAAGCGGGAGGTCGTGGGTTCGAGTCCCACCCGAGTAAGCTTGTGATTTTTTTCGCAAGCTCTCAGACAAGCACTGAGCATACAGTGTTTATTAATAATACATACGTTGGGTAAGGGAAAAACCCGTTATATCAAAGAGAGGTTTCACAGTCAAAACCTGAGTTTAATAGATGTGTCGTTATTGTTCCAGACTCCGACTTAACATTCGATTGGGTTGATTTAGAGTTATAGTTTTCTTGGCTTCCCCCAAATAAGGAGTGGCCGATCCCTTACTCTCACAGTACCCTTCCACCGACATTATCACAGTGCATTTTATGATGTCAAACATGAAAACTGATGCGGCCTGATTAATCTGCTGAGTATGAACACCTCAAACATCAGCATCACCAGTTCCTCTTTGGTACTTACCAGCTCTTGAAAGTTAATTCACTTTACCTCATTTCACCACCCACTCATATTTTCAGGGTGGCGAAGTGGTTGATCGACAAAGGTGCCAACATCAACCAGGAGGTGTTTTTTTGTTATGGAAAGGCAGACAAACGTGCCAGGACTACCGTCTTGAAGGAGGTGGTGCGTGAGGACTGGCACTTTATTATACTGGCTATCATGGACAAGATAGCCTCAGGAGGGGTACCTGGAATTTCCTACCTTGATGCCCTGGAGGTACAATTTCCACATAATAGCCAGATACTGACTACCCTATAAACCACTTGTGAATGGTCCTATGTCACATTCATAAATATCTCTGACAGTTTAGCCACTCTGGTCGGTCGAGAGCCTGTCATGTGGCTGGTCTTAAACAATTATTCATAAATACCGCCGTCAATTTTCTATTCAACAATGCGCAATGTGACTGTGTATTAACATTTAATAATATCTGCTGGCACCTGGATACGAGAGAGTTTGATCCATTCCTGTTGGTTTAGAGTCTGCATGCAACACGACATGTTCCTGCTGATGGCCAATAACCCTGCTAGCTTGTTTAACAGTTTTTAGCAATTTGAAAAAATACCATGGTCATAAAGTACTGCACACATCGTCATTCTTATCTGTCATGTCAGGACATCCTGGAAGGACAGAAGTTCCAGCTGGCTGATGACTTGATTTATAAGCTGCCAAAGCCAGACAAGTTGCAGATGACCAACGACAAGGGTCAGAATCTACTGCACCTATTGGCCATTCATGCAGTGGGGGGATCCGACATTCAGGATAAGGTGACGTGACAAACTAGCAGTAGCTCTGCTATTGTTAATGGAGTTTCTTCTATCTCTCTTTTTATATGTTAATTGTTAATACTAGGCCAACACTTATTCACCATTTTAATAGTGAAATGTATTAGCAATTTCATCTTGAGCATATTCTTTTTTTTTGCTTGTCTCAAATTCAAGGCAGTGCTTAAAATAATTCAACTCGATTTTTGTAATCATTTTGCTGAACCACAGATGTTGTTTCAATTTGATTTCGTGCTTTTCTGTCTCTTCAGACTGTCTTGTTTCTCCTTGACAATGGTGTCAAGCTATTTGCCACTGACTACAGGGGCTGTACTCCACTGCACTATGCCGCAGTCAACATGAACGCCTCATTTTGTAAAATCTTTGAAGGTGAGTTTGAACAAATAGAGTGTTACAGGATCATAGTCTTGGCCCAGGACGTCAGTGACCGATAGCAGATCGCCGCTCACTCGTGATTTTGTTTGTAAATTGGGACGCCCACTATTGCACCAGTAGCCAAAGCCCAAAGTTAGCTCACACTAACGTCTTGGGAATTTTGTAGCACTACACTGGCTTATGTTTTTTCCCCAGCTTTTCCTAGGAAACCAATCAACAGCTAACTTCCTTTGAGCCTTATAATGAATTATGCTTATGAGTTCAATTCGTCATTGACGAGAATTGAAAATAAGAATGGCGTCCTGATTTAGAGGCCTGAAAATTTCTGCATAAAATGCCGTGTTTAGGTGGTTGTAACATGCCTGTGAGATACGTCAACAGATAATTTTTACAGCTTTCTTGTAGTTCCAAGACCTTACAGTAGTTAAGTCTGTGAATCATCACATGCACATTGTATGCACCGTTACAGGGAACTACCGAACACCGACAGTCACGATGTGATGTCGCTGGTCGCTTTAGCACTGCGAATTTGGCCTATTTTTCTTCCAAAACTGGAAATTTTAGGGTAAATGATCAACAACAAAGTTGCAGTTTGGTTCCCCAGGAAAAGCTGGTTGAAAAAAAACAAAGGATAATATTAGCCAGTGCTGCAAAATTTCCAAGACGTTAGCGTGAGCTGGCTGGGTTAGTCTACCGTTGCGCTAGAGGGCGTCCCAATTCACCAAAAAAATTGGCATGAGCGGTGACCCGCTATCAGTCACTGACGTCTTGGGCCAAGACTAATCTCATCACAGCCAGAGGGAAGGCTCTCTCTTAAGAACTAAGCTGTGCCAGGCTTAATTTTGCTGCAACTTGGCATGCATGTGAAGAAACTCTCTATCATTACAAGTGTCACATTTGAACTCAATCAGACATATGGTTTTGTTTGAGCTGTCTCGCAAAAATGGGAGCTGCACAAGAACAGAAGATACTCGATTTTCACAAAAGTTGTGTCAAAGTGACCGCAAAGAGTTACTTTAAGAACTTTTAAGGCTAAGCTCATGAAAAAATACACGGCAGCACTAGGGGTAAAAATGTCAAGGGGTGGAATGTACCCTTTCCCGGCTCATTTAGGGTTAAGGCTATTATAGTCATTAAATTTTTTTTTTTTTAAATTTGCATGTAAAAGAGCAAATTAAGCTCTTTCTTTTCCTGCTTCACTAAACTGTGCATCCTCATGAAATGCGACATTATTAAGGCAAGAAATGATTAAGGTGCATGTACCACCTGTACCTGCTTATTTGCAATGTGCAAGGTTCTTTATGAAGATCTCCATAAATGCAAGAGTGGCTGTTTGGACTTATGACTCATATTGAAAGGTTGATTGATTGATTATTGATTGATAAATGCCAATGTGGATAATAATTTCCTACTAGTGTGACTATAGTTTTTGTAACTTATTTCTTACCCGTATAAAATCATAGGCTATTCCTCCTTTTGGCCGCCATGTGAGATCTTGATAAAGCAATAAAAGTACAATAATATTCATCCAGTTTCATTCATATTCTCATATTCATGAGTTGTGACTGACATAAGAAAGAACCTTTTGTTGTACCGGTGAGTGGCTGGATGTTGTTATCTTTTTCTCAGAGAAAGATCCTGTCAGTTTTCAAAGCTGTATCATGTGCACCGACCAAAGGGGCAGGGTACCAGTTGCTTCACTATTCTGGGGAATGTTGTATAACAACAGCGTTGCTGAGATTGTCGAGTGAGTGCATCGTAGAATCATTTCTCACATTCTGCATTTCCTGAACTGCCAGTTAGAAGTGTATGGGCGTTGTCTGGCCCTTGGCAAGTTGTATTCTCCTTTTGGAAGTCTGCCTATGTTGTACATCCCGTTCTTCATTTTGATGATGGTTTCCTTACAACAGTGATTTTCTTTGCATAAACAAGGTCAGAAGCATCAGGATCGTAGTTAAAACTATCATTGGACAATACACAAGACCTGTCACATGTGATGGTGAACAGTGACAAAGGAATGCTGTTGTTGGAATGCACTTGATCAGCTTTATGCCTTGAATTTGGACTGGAGGTCTTTGTTCATGTGTTTGTCTAAAGAGGTCTCAACCAAAGATCGTATAGCTACGCAGTGCAAGATGGAGAGAACTTCACTGTGAATACGCGTAAAACGTTGTAATCACATGGGCGCCATTTGGGTAGCCAACAGTGCATGTTAATGCACAAGCACAGGTGCCATGACAGCACGCACCCCTGGTGTGCCTGCACCTATGCATTAACGTACATGCACACACTCGAATGGTGCCCATGGTGGTAACACCTTTTTGGCAGAGTTCTCCATCCTGCTCCGCTATGCATCACTATACTATCTTTGGTCTCAACTGTGACACTGACAAGCATCTCCTCTACATGAACATGTATTTGGATCCATACCCTGACAGTAATTGTAGCTGACTTCACGAAATTGAAATCGGCTTAACTTTATTTGCGCCACATTTTTTGCGTAACTTGCAGAGCAAAATAGAATTTTTGCGGTAAGGCTGATGCGTGATGCAAAGCTCTGCCAACTGTCGTGAAATCAGCTGCTGGATGCTCAAGAAATAATATAACTGCACATCTCATGCAGCATGTGATTTTCGTTATTGTGTTATAGTTTGTTGCACAACGTACACTGTAAAATGTAGTAGAGTGACATTTCGTGGAAACGGCTTGTAGACAGTTTTGTGGTAGAGTTGTCAAAAAGAAGTGTGTTTCTTCTTTGAATGACCTGTGTTTCTAGACTGATCAAAAAGCATAAGGGAAGCCTGGATGTCTGTGCAGCCTTCCCCAATGTCAACCTTCTCTGTAAGGAGAAACTAACCCGCTCAGAATCCCTGCAAGATTGGTACCACAATCTAGCGGATGACAAGACGACTGACGTCACGCCACTCATCTTCACAATCCTTACAAATAACTTTGAGAGTTGCAAGCTCCTACTACAGAAGGGTGCCAATCCTAATGTTGTTGACAGGAATGGAATGACGCCTCTTATGCATGCTGTGAGACAGGTAAGGGCAGAGCCAAACTCTGCAGACACTTTTCTAGCATTACTTCTTTCCTTTGTCATTTTGACTATTCTCTTAATAGAAGTTTATTCTCTGTAATATTGGATATTGTCAGGACAATGTTAACCACACCCTTCCGACAAAGTGTGGCTCCTAACGTCAGTTTTGTGGAAGAAATCAAATGTGTGATTTGAAATGAGTGTGTCATCAGAATTTAATGTGGGGTTAAAAACTTTTTTTCCCACAGGACTTCTTGTCTTTGAAGATCCACAAAGTCATTTCCATTTACTGGTCTTAAGTTTGTGAACGTTTTGTTCAACATTTTTGTCAACAGTTTTCATTGGAGACACTTTCCAAGAGATGTTGTGTAGGACCTGTAAAGTGATAGTGGAGCTTCCATCTGTCACTAGGTGGCCTTGTTCAAGATAAACACCTGCTTGTGTGGACTGATTCAATGAAGCCGCATTCGGCAGTTCGAGTGACAGCCATATGCCATTCACTTTGCCTGGTACTCGTGATATATTTTGTACACTCAAACTTGATGCCAACTGCTGTGGCACCATGTTCATGCGCATGCTGAAGATATTGCTTACCTTGAGGTGTGCATTGGCAAGGCCTGTCTTGCTTTTAGGAGAGGCATGTCATGTGACATGTGTTTGAGCATGGTACCGATGCAGTAACGACTAGTCTAATCCTAGTCACCCGATCTGTTGATGCACATGTTACAACGAAAAGAGCTGTGATGTTTTCCTCTATTAGAACGAGATTGTCATTGTTCGCGTCTTGATGGATCACACCTACAATCCCAAGGAAGCCGGTATGAAGAAAATCAGTGCTGGCCAGGAGGAGAAGCTACCCTGGACCGCTAACTTGCTGGAACGGCTGAGTATGCAAGATTCAGCTCCTTGTCACACTGTAAAAACTGCTTTGATCATTAACACCATGTCTGATGTAGACATCAGAATGTAGACATGTCATGTTGAAAATCCAACTTATGCCCTAAACACAGATACTAACAAGAGACCAAGGCTTGATTGCTCAGTGGAAGAGCATTGGTATGGTGCTCTGTAGGTCATAGGCTCAGATCCCACCCAAATCAATTTCTTTGTTCATCTTCATAAGAAATATACTTTCCACATTTAACAAATTTCCGATGCGTGTTTTAGAAAAATGCAGCAGCTGTGTAAAATTGCTGCAACCGTCATGTGTCAGTTTTTGAATTGGAATGTTACGTCCTTTTCTGTGTAAGATACGTAGTTGTCGATCACATAGCAGACAGTTTGTTTGGAATGCGTTGGATTCTCTTTCATCTGGCGATATAAAACTTTCTTTTTTTCCTACACTGATAGAGTCTAGCAGCCAAATGACCATTATTTTAGATGGCTATGAGGAAGACGAGAAACAAGATCATTCACAAGGTTGGTGATTCGTGTAACAATGCTGAGATCAGGAGTCTTGTTTCAGGATTTGTGAAAATGATTCAAGTCATTGGAAGGCTGATTTCCAATCCTCGCCTTTCATCCGTAGTTCCCAAATGTAGTCTCATGAGCAGTCTGGACGTAAATGCTGTGGACTCGCTTGGCCGAACTGCAATTCACCACCTGATGAAGACATGCGATTACGGCACGTACGAGAATGTGGAGATGTTAGAAATGATGGCAGGAGTTGGAGCCAATTTGTCCGAGCAGGATCAAAACGGCAAGACGCCGATGGATTACACCATTGAGACTGGTTCCAGAAAGATGGCCACTGCTCTTCAGAAACTGACTGGAGATGACGCGCTAAAACTGGTAGAGCTGATTATATTTGTTCATTAAACCACTTTTCACAGTTGGAAATACACCAGTTTTTGCTTTTCTAGTTTATTTCTTTACGAAGGAATAGATCTCTATAATTCCTCATTTCAAAGTGACTTGAGAGTTGAGTCAGTTAGTTTTTTTATGGGACATGTTTTTGAAGGATGTGTACCTCTCAAAACCTGAGTCAAATTCAAGCAGTATTGTTGAAAATTTAGTGCAAGAGCAATGCAAGGTTACTGTGTCGTGTTTTTGACTTGTGTGAACGTTTTCTTGGAGTTGAAAGTGATGCCACTACCTTTGATAGTGGTCTACAGCGTGCTAGCTTGGTTCACACATGGAAGCCTACATGTATATTGCTGGAAACCGGTGTTGTAGTCTAGACCACTTAAGACCATCACAAGACCAACACGAAACTTTCATTCTCAATTCAACTCAAAGAAAAGCATTCCCTGTGTAGTGGTTGTGTTTGATCATTTGTCTGACCTTGAGATGGTCTCGACTGCAACACTACTGACCATATCCAATCATCTCTGTGTTTAAATTCTATACAAATATTGTTTGTCCCAAGCCTGCCACCCCAGCCTGGTCCGACGGTCTGGACTTCCCCTCATCCCAGCCCGATGTGGACAGTGATTCTCAAGCAATGCTGAAGATTCTTGAGTTGGAGCGCGGCAAGGCAAGACAGCCCAATGACTCAAGACCTGAAGAGGAAGAAAAAGAAGATGAGTTGAGGTAGGACGACCAGGGTTTGTCATACTGAGGCGACAGAACCGTGTTTTGGCTCCTATTTTACCACAAGCATCCCCCTTTCTCTGTCCAAAGTCAGTTTACAAATTGCACAAGTTTATACCCGAGGAGCTGATTCAATGGGGACAGATTGAGCAGAGGATTTACATTCATGATGGAAATTCAATTTCAGTCTAATGTTTCTATATTAAATTATGAGGCCTTAAAGTGATTATGACAGTATTGTGGTATTTGATAGTTTGTCCATTTTGTAGGATCACTAAAGAACTGCATGATTTGTTTATATTTATTTATTGGAAGCTACATCGAGAATGGCATGTCAAAACAAGGAAGAAAAAAAACATTTGTAATCGTCCCACGGAATTACCTGAATCACCAACTATGTCGTTTAAGAGAAGTTGGAATTGTTTTTGAAGGGATGTCCTGATGGATGAAGAACAGAATGTTCGCTACCATGCAAGCATGACAAAAGTAGAAATTGAAAAGCAGAGGAGTTATCTCAGCTTCTACAGCATGCAGGTATGTGTTTCCCTATTTTGGTGTGGTGTTACACTTAAAACCAGGCTTGGGTCCACAAAAAACATTTTGTGTAGCTGTTATCCGGCACAGCAAGTTTTGGTCGCCAGTGCACTTGGTCCTCTTGAAATGCATGCAGGTCTGCCTCATGAATGAGAATTTTTTTGCCAACACATTCACATTATGCCAAAAAATCAAGCAGTAAATATATCGCGTGTTTGTTTTAATCTTTTTCAATTGACACAACTCATTCAAGAGCCTCTGCATGTTACTCAGTCATCCAAAAGTGCCATTGATTTTTCTTTACCTCTCAACCCGTTCTTATTTCCAAGTATGGCGTCGTACCTGTTTAATTAGTGATCATTACCTTGTCTACAATGTACGTAAATGGATAATTCCAAAGCATACTTGTGACCGCATCAGTTTTAGATTGTTTAAGAGTATAGACAATGATGTTTTTGCTGATGATCTTTCTAGTGTTTGTTGGTGGCAGGTTTTTGATTGCAAGGATGTTAATGAAGCTTGGAATATATGGCATTCATTATTCATGGACATTGTCAATTCGTATACCCCTGAGAGGCGTAAATGAATTCGAGGCAAATCATTGCCTTGGCTTATCAGTGAGATAAATCATACGATGTGCCAATGCGATCATGGCCACAAAATAAATAAATAGAATAAACCACTCGGAAATTGACGCATTTTGTCAAGTTTACTCAAGGTCAATGTCCTGTAGATCAGAGGAGCAAGAATTTCTTTGGTCATTAGTGCATATGTGCAGGTTGGCATGACCAGTCCTCTTGGCCATTACTACACAGATGTACATGTTTGTTTGCCCACCATCAATACGTGTTGGCCACCACCTCTTTGCTAGTAAATCTCAGGTTTTCCTTGGCTTTCAAGTCATCATCAGACCTGAGAGTATTCTTAAAAGCAAATTCCGATGTTCAGTAAAAGTGGGCTTTAGAGTTTCCCCGGACGTGGACGATAGAGATGATGACGATACATTTACCTAATAATGATTGGATGACAGCCCATGTTGAGATGTAAATTGCCTTTTGATTTCAACCAATGCTTCAAATTAGTGCACAACTCGTTAGTATTGTATAAGTGTCCAAAAGTAAACTAATAATATTTTTATCTCTTTTGCCAGTTAAATAAACTTCCAGCTGGCGTCGTAGAGCTTCTTTCCCACTGGGGTGTCATTAATGGTTACCGTGGGGAGACTGGCAAAAAATATTTTTGCAAGAAGGAAGAAGCAATCACCGAGTTTGAGAAGATCTTCAAAGCCAAAAGTGGAAATAACTGGGCAGATGTCAAAAGGTGAGTCACTCGTCATCGGAGCTCAGTTGCAGCTACGTAACTGGGGACCAGGAAGAACAATTCACATTACCACTAAATTTTAAAAGAGCTAAAGTCAACATGCTCACTGCATTGTGGGAAGAGGTCGATATTAAGCAACATCACCAACATACTGTAAATTGTGTATTTCCCACTTTTACAACAAATCTTTTAAATCCCCCTTTTGTCTCTTAATGGGATGCTGCAGTCATTCAACGACTTTTGTTATCAGTTTGCAATGTTGCATCGAAGGCATGTGCTGGAATTCATGTAGTCACTGATGTCGTCCACTAGCCAGAAATAGACCTTTCAATTTTGGGAAGGCATGCTATATTTTGAATTGCTCCTATTTGTAGGTGGGGGCCATTTGGCCACCCTAACTTCTAGAGGGGCACTAAATGGATGTTGTGGTTTTAAAAATACATGCCATTAGAGGTCAGAATTCTAACGAAGATGAATATTAATAACATCACATATTGCACTGTAAGATCAATAATGCATCATCTTAGCACAAGCAATTTGAGTGCATAATCCAAAGAACAATAACTAACTGGGAGACAGGGTTTATTTTATGTGTTTTATTTATTCATTCATTTATAATCAACCCAAGGTAAAGCCCTATCGACTATAAATGGTTCTCCCTCATGGCCCCTGGGAGTAGGAAGGCGACAGTGGGTCGGGGTGTCCAGTTTTAGAAGTGGGAGGAAAACCCGAGATATATATTCCTAGGGAGCACTCATAGAATCAGGTAGGGACTGGAAAGAGAATCCACATGCTGACCACGAGGAGGTTCAAACGAAGGTCACAGAGGTGGAAGACATCTTGGAAAGTAACCCTGCACCAATCTGACTCCCCTTTCATACCTGGACCCAACTTCATGGTGCTGCTAAGCACCTGATTTGATGCTAACAGAGGTTCCACTTCCTAATGGAGAAGCAGTAAGCACAGCAAAAAGCACGCTTAGCTTGGAGGAAAAACTTGCTTAACGTTGTGCCAAAACAATGGATATCTCTATGCACGTACAACTGTAAGCATAACTACAACAGGCACCGCCACAAAACGGTGCTTATGGTTGGCAAAATTTTCTGCTGCAGTAAGCAAGTAATTAACTGGTGACTGTCAAGCAGGTTCGTGAATTTGGGCCCCAGCATTTTGTTTGTAAATGAAAGCCTATTTTTTAACTTTACATGTTGGATTTGAAGCAAGCATCAACATGAAATATTTCACATGACACATCCAATAGGTCTCTCTCCAACGACATCACTTCCTACATGAACAGCGTCAATTTTTTGTGAAGCGCATCGACTGCACCACAGTTTGAAGATATTTGGATCAGTATGCGTGAATGTGTAGAACATTCTTCACTCTGCATGCATACACACTTTATGGCACAAATACACAGTTGTAATTTTCCTACAGAGATGGCGTCTTATAAGAGAGATCTATCCAAAGAACCATTCTTTCGCTGTTACCCATTGAAAACCTGCAGTTTTCAGAAGAAGCCCAATAAGTATGCATTGATGGAGTTCAAGCCTTGGAGAGCAAAGAGGAACAGCGCAATCAGAGATTTTCGCTTTGATTTAGAGTCACCGGTGCCCTGCCAACTGCCAGAGGAAATCCAACATGTGGTTCGCATGTGGGTGAGTTTGACTGATTTATATTGGCCTGGTGGTACTAGCAGGTGGAATTTAAAATAGAAGGCTTGTATGTAGTATATTTGCATCACACAGTGCAGAGACACTCTGCTGTAGCATAGTCATACTTTCAACTCAACCAATGTGTTCAGCAAATATTGAATGATGCACCAAGCATCAATATAGGTATGCTTATTCCACTTTTTAAAGAGCACCTCGAAATAAAACATGTTGTTTGTTTTTATTTTATCCATTCAAATAAATATGGAAGCATCCAAATCAAACGCAGTGTCATTTGTCTTCAGAGCTCAGCTGTAACAAGCCAAAAAGTGTTTTTTTTCTGTTCATGCCAAGATGCGAATTCTGAATGTAGATTGCATCATTCAGAATTTGTTTGGCATGCACAAGGGTTTGTCCACTATGACCACAGGGCGAGGGTTCCCCTCGTTTTCTCTGTTTTCTCCGAAGGACGTAATCTACATTCAGAATGTACACCTCGGCATGAACAGAAAAAAGCCTTTTTAGCTTGTTATAGTTGAGCTCAGAAGACAAATTACACTGCATTTGATTTGGATGCTTCCATATTTATTTGGACAGATAAAATCAGAGAAAAAACAGTTTTCCTAAGAGGTGCTGTTTAATTAGTGATGGATTTGTGAGAAGAAAGTTGATAGTGAACTAATTTGCAAATTATTACATTTTCAGACAAAGCCGGAGATATTAGAGGAGGCCCTCAAAGAAATAGGGGTTGACACCTCCATCATGAACTTTGGCCACCTTTCCAGAGAAGTGCTACAGAGTGCTAGTGATGTCTTGGACCAAGTCAGGTATTACTAGCTATCAAGCAGCCTCTGTTAGGGAGTGTTGGGTGTGGAACGTTTTACCAAATTGCGACATTTTCACAAAAACAAGCAATATTTTTCTTTTTTTTCCATAAAGCTTTCTTGACTCTTCTGTTTTTGCAGTGAGGTGATGAAAAGGAAAGAGTTGGCAGAGAAACAGGCTAGATTCAGACGCCTCAAACATAGGTTAATCCTGGAGAGTGGAGATTCAAAGGAGAGACCAGTACATTTTGATCGCAAGCAACGTCTCGCCTTTGTAGAAACGGTAAATTTTGGAGGAATCAAATTTGATGAGGCACTGACTTTGTTAGTATTTGCCAGAGTTGTAGACTCGAGTCACTTGACTTGGACTTGAGTCGCTATTTTTGTGACTTGTGACTTGACTTGTAACTATCAGTTTGGACTTGTGACTTGGACTTGCAAAAAATGACTTGTGACTAGACTTGGACTTGCACATTATGACTTGTTACCCACTCAAGTCAGAAAACTATTCAATATTCAACCATTGCAGTTTTAAACTAGGTCTAGCAACTTAATGCACGTTGCATCCTCATGCCTTGTCTGCCCAAGGCCACATCCTTTGTTGTAGTAGTCTTGCATTTTATTTGGTTCAGCAATGCTTACATTTTTCATTGTTTTCCCCCCAACTTTCCTTGGGAGCCATTGCTGCATTTAGGTGGTTGTAACACACCTTCAAGACACGCTAATGGATTACTTTTATAGCAACTACTCATATTCAGATATCTGTTGAGCAATCATCCTGTAAATTTCCAGTTTGGGGGAGAAATTGGCCAAATTCGTGGTACTAAAGCGAACGGAGACGTCATACATAGTGACTGTACTGTGTGCCACAAATATTTCGGTTATCTGCGCGCATCGCAAGTTCTTGGTTGCTGCCCCAGACTATAGAAAGATATTTGTGAATGTTTAACTCAAATTGTCTTTTAAAAAATTTAAACATGATGTTGGCTGTTTTTTCAGTTTTAAAACGTCTTTCATGAATGAGAAGCATGTTGACAGTTTGAAGGTGTTTGTATAACCTCCGCCGATTATCGCTCAAGTGATATGAATAATGCATATCCCAAGATTATTATAATTGTCTGTTCTTGCCCTGGTCAAACAAAATAATTATCCACACCTTCCTCTGTGGTTCATTTCGCAGATTGTGGAATATGGGAGGTCTTTGAACCAAGACTAGGCTGTGGGTTGAAATCACATATAGTGCAACTTGACTTGTACTTGGACAAAAACACTTGTGAGTTATGACTTGTGATCAAATGACGTGTGACTTGACTTGCGACTGGACCAAATGACATGTGACTTGCAAAAATTGACAAGTTACCACCTCTGCTATTTGCAGTACGAGTTGATTTTGAGTTCCAATTTAAAAAGAGAGGCAAAAATAATGTTTGTTCATTAATGACATTAGCTTGATCTTATTATCTTAATAAAATTATCTTGATGTAGCTGGATCTATCGTTTTGAAGAGGCACAAAAATATAATTTAGGGGACAAACATGTTATTTTAGCAACAAAAGATAAGATAAAAAATTGGGTTGTTTTCCTGAAATGAAAAAAAATTATCTGGTCAACAAATTGGTGTTTTGTTCAACATCTCTGTATGGAAGGAAAATCAAAGTATTGATCTGGACCTGAACTTCGAACCTCTGTCATCTAGTTTTGAATGAGTAGTATGAGCGATATTCTCTACAACCGAGTAGCTGGGTATTGTTTCTTTTTTTAATAATTTATTTATTTTCTTTGCTTTTTTTGGTAAACTAGTTTGCTGTTCACAGACAGTGTATTAGGGCTCATTTACATTATATAGGGATCTCTCTCTGATATTGATCCTAAAACTTTAGTGTTAATTTGTTCAAGATATTTTATGACTGAATTGATAGTAAGACTTTTTGTCAATTTGCAAACAGTCTAGGCAAACAAGCTTTCTAAGTTTTCTTTTGCACAATGATGTGGTGGCACTGGCCATTGAAATATAGGAAATAAATAAACTTATAGCTCATAGGAATGTAATGAATATGTACTCATTCTGAATCGAAGACAGCACAATTTTGATTCTGACAATTAAAATTTGTGATAAGCAACTTCAGTATAATTGGATTTGTGCATGTGCTCACTGTAAAGCCTTTCTTAATCCTCACAGTCCTCAATCCTTCAAGTGTTTTGATTAATGAAGGAAATAGCCACAAAAATGGAGCAGCCAATGGATTATAAATATAAATCAAGACGGCACAAATAGATCATAAAACAGCAATTTGTGATGGTGAAAACATAAGAAAAACATTCCATGGTAATTGTGTCCCGTGTCTGCACAGCCCAATTTTAAGTACGCAGAACAAGAAAATGGCAGGGTAACACAATGTGCAGGCACCTGCATGAGCGCGCAGTGATTCTGTGCTTCGATGAGGCTACATCTTGTCTTTTATTTATGGCGTGTCACTGCGCCATTTTGTAATTTCTGTTCATTCGCGCAGCTTTATGACCTGAACAATCAGTATCTGCACCAGTTGATTCCTTACGAGAACTTTTCACACGACACAGTGCGGCCAGTCACCATCCGGGATGAGTTGGAGAAGCAGAGAAAGAAACTCTTTGATCTGATGGACCTGGAGATGCTCAACAGGATCTTACTGGGGGCGATGTACAGGAAACAGGGTTGGTCCCACAGTGAAATTGACCCCATCCAAAACATTTGAACTAAAAGTGCCAAAGTTCTGTTTTTGATACATTCAAGAAAACTGTACAGAAAGGCTATGAATGAAGTGGAATGATTTACTGGCAGCTGAAGTGAAATGCAGTGAATTTGTCTTTTCAGAAATCCATCCCCTGGACTACATTTATCGTGCCTTAGACTGCAAACTGAAACTTCTGGACAAAGATGACGAGGAGAAACGACATCTGCTGCAGTTTATCCACAATTCGAGTAAGTGTTTGGCTCAAGTTTTTACCCCCCTCAATCTAGTATGGATTCAAACCCCTGGCTAAGGTGCTGTGTCATAGAAAAGTGTAGAAGGTACTTCATTGGGTATTCTTTAGCTGAGTAGAAGTGAGCTGGGAACCAGTCATATATAGCTCAAACCCAATGATAATTTAGTTGGTGACATTTGATTGCTTAGCACAATGTGCATGCTGAACTCCGTACTTCATAGAAGATATGTGATACCCCATAGAGCTTTAGCGTGTAGCTGACTACATCATGTACTCCAGAGACCACTGTTTAACCACACACATGAGTTCCATTATACGGATGACTGCTCGGAAACAACTGTGTGACCACTCATGACAGCTCTTTCATGTAGATGACCACTTGGGAGACACCCATATGACCAATCATGACAGCTCCACCATTGTAGATGACCACTTGGGAAACTGCTGTGTGACCACTCATGACAGCTCCATTATGGAGATGATTACTTGGGAGACTGCAGTATGACCACTCACGAGAGTTCCATCTTGTTGATGACTGCTTGGGAGACTGCTGTGTGACCACTCACGAGAGCTCCATTATGTGGATGACCTCTGGGGACACCACCATTTATCCATTCAATATGCACAAACCTTAACTCGTAACTGTGGGAAGAGATATCTGTTGTGCTCTGACCACAGCTGAGGATTTGTGTGTTTACAGAGAAAGCAAGGCTAGTTTGTGGTCCAACCCAACAGTGTACATTTGTGGGGTTTCCTGAACTTACTCAATGAAAGTTCAACTCAATCAAGTTTTACAATACAATTGTGCATCCCCAGGGGAAGTCTTAGATAGTTATTTTGTTTTTACATGTTCTTTGAAATTGTGCATCTTCGGCTACTTTTGTTTATAAAGGTTTGTAGTAACATTTTCCTTGTTCTAATTTGTGATTTGCAAAATTTCCCAAACAGGTATCAGACCCCATCTTGCAACTGGAGGACCAAGCAGTGTCACCGTACCCTTTATTTCATGTATTTTGCATGGGTTAAGACATCCCAATTCTCAATTACCCTGCACATGTATTTAAGAAACATCACTTTAATATCTTTATTCCCCCCTCACTGTGTGTCTCCTAGTGACAGGTGATAATAATGTCAAGGTGAAGGCCATTTTCCGAATGTCTCGCAAAGGCGAGGAGGAGCGATTGCAGTCTTGCTGCTTGGACAACCACAAGCTGCTTTGGCACAACTGCAATTCAGCGAACCTGCTGTCTACCATGAAGCTGGGCATACCAGTCTCCGATAGAGAATACAAACCAGCCTACTGTAATCTTGGAGAGGTGAGGTTGGCAAGCGGTTATATGGACCCACCCAATACACAGTGCTTACCCTCGTGCAGTGTTGTAGCCAAGCGTTTTTCTCCTCAGCCTAGTTGGCAAGTAGCATGGATAATAAAACCTCACCCACTGATTCTGTGCCGTGATTGGCTGAAGAGGATTCACATGATAGTCATTAGTTGTGCCAGCAAAGCTGGGTTCAAACCTATTGTGAGGAAGTAGTGTTGGAAAATGCTGGTGAAACTTTTAACAAATTTCATATTCAAACCGAAGTGCATATAACTTCAAATCAAGTAGAATATGTGGGAGGGGTGTTAAAAACAAATATGTATTGACTGCTTTATCTTTTGATGTAGCAAAACTAGCCGTCATCAATGATCCACAGAGCATTCTCTTTTCCCTCGGCTTCTCTTCCTGGGAAATCGAAGGCTCGTTTTAACATGCCACTTGCACAGATAATGTTTTTCTTCTTCCAAGAGACGTGCCAAATTCATATATTTGAAGACTCGGACTCATTGAAATGAGAAGCAGTCACAGTTTTAGAGGTGGGAGGAAAACCCCAGAGAAATATTCTAGGCAAAACCCACGGTATTAAGTAGAGACTGAAAACCCAATCCACATGTGGACCGAGCTGGGAATCGAGCCCGGACCGCAGAGATGGAAGGCTAGGAAAGAACCACTACATGGTTTTATACTCTACTGTAGTGAAATGGGGAGTCAGGTTGGCAAGGTAGTTCTTTCCTCGCCTTCCACCTCTGTGGTCCCAGGTTCGATTCCCAGCCCGGTCCACATGTGGATTGGGTTTTCAGTTCCTACCTGACTCTGTGGGTTTTACCCAGAATATTCCTTTGGGGTTTTCCTCCCACCTCTAAAACTGTACCTGCTTCTTACTGTCTCCTCTTTACTGTTTACTGATGTTGGTGAATGTGGGTCGTTTGGCGGCTGCCTGAGGCGCCCTTGTCTGCCATCGGCTCAACCATGTTTAAATGTATTCATTGTTCCACGATTAATGTCTTCATTGTACAGTGCATTTGAACATATCTATATGAAATTTGCACGTTATAAATGAATAAATCATTATCATTATTATTAAATTGTGGTGAAAAAGTGAGGATCTCCCTGGTAGTTTAATAATTTATTCAATAATGAATGGTATGGCTTAGTTACCATCAGACGTCTTCCAATGTTGCTGATTTGAAGATTTTGCACATCTCCCATTTAGACCCTACTAATGGTCTAGTAAAGAACAGTCTATTGACCATACCATTAGCCAGTGTGCCATGGTGGGAGAGCCATTCCACACCAGTACACATTGAGTCAAAGTCATCCCTGTGTCATTCATGTCTCCCTTTGTGAGAAGTCCCGCCCCCCTAGTTTCCTGCCAGCAAATATTTATGTCAGTTCATCTTACCCACAGAGAAACTATTGTGCTGTGTGGTTGTAATCCTGATAATTCACCATGTACCTGGAATCATTTTGGGATGATCAGTGGAACAAATTTAAACCTGTTTTTGGCACCAACTAACCCTACGCAGGCGATGTGTTGAATAAGGACAGAGTGTAACAAGAAACAAGGCTGGTGCTGGAGTAAAGGAATTCAGACCCCACTTCTAGTCCCTTCCCATATGACAGCATCCAGGCCCCCTTGCTGTCTTGTGTGAGGATGGAAACTTCGTCCACCACTTGGCAGTAGACTGCCCCGCAACTGACCTGTCCCCCTGGCCTTATCTCCAGCTGCTTGTTGGGTTGGCCGAGGTGCAAGCCTAGGCACTGTCAATCGAGACCACAATGATACCATGCCTCAACTGAAATAAGTTATGAGAAATCAGCAGTTTGAATAAGTTGCATGTGAAGCTGAGTGTCTAAGGATTCGTAAAAAGCCCAGAGACGGATGATTACATTTGACTCCCAGTCCTTCTGCAGAATGAACGTTTTATTAACCAAACCTGCCTGAGATATTTTTGTTACATTGAACATTGGTGTGAAGTTATAAACGAGACACCCCGATATTGTTTTGCTGATGAAAATTTCCATATTCGTGAGCAAAACTTTGATGTTATCCCAGGGAAAACTCTTAAGTTGCTTTGTACATAAAATGCTGGAACTGTTTGAGTTGTTGCTTTTGTGTACGAGGTTCTCAGAATTGTTTCAAGAAGCAATGTGTCATCATAGCAACAGTGCCCTCAGTTGTCCAGAAAAGCATGGACAATATTTTAATTTTAATCAAAAAGTGTCTTTTTTCCATTACACTTAACTGAGAAGGGATCAGCGGCGTATCCAGCTTTGGCGTGGGGGGGGAATCAAAAGTGAATGCAGCTTTGGGCTCATTCAACATGCTGTTGGGGAGATAAAATATATTAAGCCATATTGATGTTCCCGACATCCTTACTTTTATTTTATGGTATTGTTTTCTTTGGGTTTGGTGCTAATAGTTAAATAAAATATTTGTATTAATATTTGTGTAGAAACAAAGTATCTATCAGGGGAGCAAGTTCCCCCCCGGCTGCCCCCTGATGGATACAGCATTGGAAGGTATGTCATAGTTTGAGCAGAATAGCACGTTTGAGACAAATTCCTTTCAACCCAGGAATTTTCATCGTGAATGATTTTCACCCTCTGGCCTCCAATGTCATTTTTAAACATTCCTACAGAGTTAGAAGTTGTAAATAATCATTGCATCATTTCTTGTTGGTTCGTATCCAACAGTGTTCAGTGGTTTTTTTTTTTGGTTGAATATTTCATGCAGGGGATCTACACATCTCCCTCATTTGAGGTCATGGCCTCAAATGGACGAATGTTTGGCCAGGAAGACTCCAAGTTCTTGCTTATAATGGAGGTAAGCTTGAAAGACACATGAGCTAAGCACAACAAACCATCAAGAAAAAAAGGCGTCTCGTATTGTTGTTTCACTTTTGCCTGCGAGAGAGAAATTAATTTTTTTTTTCAACTTGGTTGCCAGGGGGGGGAGGTATTTTTGGAATACGTCACATAAGTTTGAGACAACCAGGCCATTTCCATAAGGCTGTCAGAGCAGAAAATATAGCAAATACTGGCCGGAAGATTGTAGGGAGAAGTGTACAGTATACTTGTAACCATTTTAGTTGGTAACCACAACCAAATTTCATGGCATTGCTTAACAGATAACAGAAAAGTAATACCGTAGCATAAAATATTGCTAAGCGAAAGCACTATTTCATGGCAGTGTTTGACATGGTTGCCCCCATGATGCCCCTGGCAGTTTGATTCAGGCTGAGTGCCCATGCACAAGTAATTGAAAAAGCTCAAAACAGAGGAGGTAAATATCAACATACACGTGGCTTTGCAGATTGCGGTTGGAAAGACAGACAAGCCCTCATATGGTGACACATGGAAGATGGAATTCAACAGCGCTTACTGGTCTGGCATAACCAAGATCAACGCCAAGCGAGAACTCCTGCTTCCTACGGGTAGAGTGACACTGAGTTTTGTCTTGCTGCCGGACAGATTTTCTCATTTGTATAAGGGGAATCAAAGAAATATGGTGCCAGTCACAGACAATTTGAAAGAACAGTTGGTTTGGTCAGCCATGTTACACGGTGGCTCTGTCACTGGCACTCATGGCCTGAAATATGTGAAATAATATCTCCGAATTGATTTTACAGGGATGGATTCGATTGTTAGTTATTCTGCCTTTTCACACTGCCAAATTTCCTGCTTTGTAATACAATAAACAAACTAAATTCTATTAATGAGAATAAATAATGTCTAATACAACTTCTCAAACCTGTTTTTGATTTTTCCTTTTTTTCTCACCGGAAGGTGCGTTAATGCCAGTTGGAAGACTGCTCCCCGTTGATGGTTGCTTTAGCCGCCGTTCTCCTAGTTTTTACATAGTTCCCACCCAGGAGCAAGCCTGTCTGCGCTACCTGGTGCAATTGACAGGTGCTAACTGAAGAAACTGAAATAATTTTAGGGATTCATGCCATGCTTTGCAACAGGAAATTAGACTTTTTGATACAAATCCTCAATGTTTTTATAATGTTATTTGAGATATGGTGCAACGTTTCTCCTAAAAGGTCAAATGAATTTGTCAAGTACAACATAATATTATAATCTGTAGTGTTTGTCTTACCTTTTCTAGCTTTTTCTCTCCAGTTTCATATTTTTGTGTTAAAGATTGTTTCAATTACGCATTATGTGGGAATGATGAGTCACCTCAAGGAATATTTTTAAAAGATGGTCCAGATGTTTGTGTACGTGTTTAACTGGCTTGAGTTCGCTGCTTTTTTAAAACAAGGTTTTCCTTTTCATTGCTTAATTTTGTCTCCTTGTATGTGTGTATGCTTTGATTTGCATACGGTTGACGAGCCAGTCAAAGCTAAGAAAAAAGAGAAATTTCACTTAAATTTTAAAGACTATGTGGAGAGTTGACATCACAACGTATATTGGCAGCCATCAGAATACAGTAGAAACTAGACCTGTGATTTGATGCGAGACACCACAAGAGCAAGCTGAGATTGCATTGACCTTTATTAGCCGTGTCACATTTGAAATGGACAGGCTCTGAAATTTGTACATAAAATAGTCATTTTGATTGATACATTTCATAACAGATAGAGCTATATAGAGACTGTTGTGTTTATCTGTAGTTAATATCAGTTCATAGTGAGTTTACAGTCTTTCAAAAGACTTGTCCAATGTTGTCTGGGATGTTGGGGGAAAGTGGTATTTTGGAGATGGAGTTGAAATAAAAAACCATATATTTAGGAAAACACAACTTCTGCTTCTAATTACGTGCCTTTTAATTAAGACTTACCTGGGAATTGTGAACCTGAAGTCCTCGAGAGGAAGTTTTAGCTGTTCGCCGAGCTCTTCTGGTTGCTGAGTGTACATTTGACTGTAGGACTTGTCTACCCATACGGCCTTCGACTGGAAGGACGTCCCGCAAATAACAGGATGTGAAGGTTGATACGTTCTTCCAACCTGCAGCTTGCATAATCTCCAAAACAGCCTCATCTTGGAAGAGACCCCCATGATGATGTTGTCATGCTCCTCGTCTGGTGGGCTTGAACTTCAGCCTTAGGTGCAACCTGCTTCAGTGCTGGTCAAAAATTAGCCTGAGTTGCGTAGTGCAAAGTTTGCGGCTTGCCAGGTATTGGAGAAACCGGTTGATCGTGATTTGATGTACCAGGCTTAGGCCCACTTGGCTTTGAAAATATGGCTTCAACAACCTATAACCTACCTTGAAACATAGTTGTCACTGAAACTAGCTGATGTGGGTGAACTGTTCTGATGAACAGTTGCATGGAACAACCTCGGAATTCCCTTGGTGCGAGCAATGTAAAACTTTAATATTCTCACAGACTAGGGCACCATAATGCATCCTTTTGAATGCTGGATAAAGATGTCAAGCTAGGAACGAAAATAGGCCCTATCCGGAGGAGTAAAATTTACAGGTTCTTCGTCAGAAACGCAACTCGTGGAATACGGGCGATTCACAATAGTGCGCCTCCAAGAGTTCGCAACACGCGTTGGCCACTCACAACTCATGAAATCTGTCGACCCTTTTCAAACGCGCATTGGGTCGACAGATTTCGTGCGTCGTGATTAGCCAACGCGTTGCAAACTCTTGGAGGCGCACGATTGTGAATCGCCCTTTTTAGCGTATTTGACTTGTTTCATTGGTAAAGGGCGTAAAGTTTACACCTACGGTGTGAAGTGGAGATTGCAAGGAGAAAAGCTGGTTTCACTGTCAATCGATGAAGTGAAGAAGATCCTATTGGTTCAAAAGGTGCTTTGGACAGCTTGAGAAGAACTTTGCCAAGGTCCCAACGTTAAATAGGCTGTTTGATTGGTGATCGCTTCACAAACATGCCGTATGTATAGTGGAACAATTTATAAACATCTTTGAACCCGTTGGGTACTGCACCAATGGCCCATCAGTAACCTCGGATGGTGGGAACTTTCAGATCAGACAGAGTTGAAGACATAAAGTGAAAAATCCCCATTGACGGTTAGAGATACAGAATTGGGATCGATAGCTTCATGTGAACACCACTTGAAATAGAGCTGTAGCAGGACTCCTGCTACTGGCTGCCAGGGCTGAAGCGTCCTTTGATAGGCCTGCCGCTTTGAAGGACAGCTTGAAAGCATGCAGACAGGGAGATGAGAACTTTTTGGTTGAAAGAGTAAGTCCGGCTGGTCTGAGAGAACATTTGGCAGTTGGGTTTGGAAATCCAAGAGTTGGGGAAACCATGGTTGTCTTGACCAGAAAGGAGCTATCAGGATTATTCTTCACCTTTCCTCGCCGTTTTTGGTCAAAATTTCGAGGTAGAAGAGAGATTGGAGGGAAGGTGTATCCAAGGAACTTTGTCCAGTTGATGCTGAATGAGTCTGTAGCCCTTGTCATTGGGTGCACATGACGAGAACATTGGTAACTAGCATGGGAGGTAGATAGGTCGATGTGTGAAGTTCCAAGGATACTAAAAAATCTCGTGTAGTGTTGAACGAATAAGTGACCATTCTGTGGGAATTGCAAGGTGCGAGACAACGCATCTGCAATTAAGTAGTTGACAGGTAACTAGCTTGAAGAGGTATGTGACGAGGAATGCACCAGCTGAGGAGTTACCATGATAGCATGCACAGGGAGAGTGAATGAGCCCCCCCCCCAACAGTTCAGGTTGGACACTACTGCGGAATTGTCCGTTTTCACTTGGATGAAATTGCTTGATAGCCTGCTGGGTGTGTGCAATGAGAACCGCAAGAAGCTCCATTGGTTGATGAAGCAAAGGGAGCGGGATGCCACCGCGGAGGTTCTGGCATGAGTGCCATCATCTGAGATGGGATCGGATATGAAAAAATTCATTCTGGAACTGCCACTGGAAACGGGGTCCTTCCGAGGGTGAAGAATGCCAGTGGAAGACTAGATGGAGCTACTTTCACAATTCTCGTGAATACCCTTGGTGCTTTATAGACAGGCGGAAGGGAATTCACTGGAATTGGTATGTAACACCCATATGAACTGCAGGAACTTTTAATGCTCTTTAAGCATGGGGGACATGAAGATATTAAGCACTCTTCAGGTCCAAAACGTGGCCCACCAACCTCGAGGAAGAGTTTGCAAAAACTGTTGCCAAAGTCTCCATCCGGAAACATTTCAGTCTGATGAAAGTGTTCAGGGGACAAAAGTTGATAATCGGTCACCTGTCGCCGGACTTCTGTAGAGTGAGGAAGAAAATTGAAGTGAATCCATTTGAAGAGGGATTATGGCTCTCTTTCCTTTTAGGAAGGATATTTCCTTCTCCAAGGAACTTTAGCGTGCAAAGTCAGAGGGGACTGCAAAATTGTGGAGTTCAGAGGAGCGCTGGTGAATTATAATTGAAAGCCCAGAGATACTGTTTGGAGAACCCAGATGTCTGTGGTAATGTGTGTCCATTCGTGAACAAACTACAAAAGCCGACGACCCCCCTACTGGTCCCAGGGCTAGTGGAATCTGGTTTTACTTATTGCCCCTTTGGAGCACGGACCTGTTGGGATTTAAAGGAGCGCTTTAGTTTAGAGGGCACCCTGTTGGTGTAGAGGACAGACTGACGACTGTGACTTTGGCGAAGCCTTGGCGAAGAAAACTCTGGATTGACGGAATCGAATGTGTAAGGGAAACAAATACAACTTCTGTTACCTTCATGGGAGTCCGGGGAGATTTAGATGAGGATCGCGCGGAATCGTGGCAACGCAGATCAAACTTCTCGGCCGTCTTGAGGCTTTTGGTTTTTTGGAGCATGACTTTACCAAACGTGTCATTAATTAAAACGGTCACTTCCTAGAATTATGGGCAGGTCTTCCATTCGCTTTCTAGATCCCGCGAAGGGCCAGAATAGATAATCAATTATCAGTCATTTGCCTTAACAGTCATCCTGGAATGATTTGAACATGCTTACGAGGTCAAGGCCTCGTAATGATGTGTCTTCAGAGACACGAGCTAAGACATCAGAAAGCAGAAAAAAGTTGGATGTTTGACACCGTGGTGAGTATGTCTGTCCGGTGTTTCTAGAGATGTAAAGAGACTCCGGTACGTACAGGCATAGGGCGTGTAGTGTGTGGGGGAGACGTCACTCAAGTGCTTGTGCATGCGTATGGGAAATGCATTTGTAGGTATCGGAGGTGAGGTATTTTCTGTAATAGGACAACATTCGTGCTGCAAATTTGCACATGAACACATTTCAACTGCAAATTTCGGTGACGTAAAATTCGCCTGAAGAATGAACCAGCCTTGTCAGTATATAATTTCAAAAGCGAAGTACACTTATTCGAAGTCTGTTTTTTTTTTAGATATATTCTTTCTAGCTCCGTTTCTACGAGTTGTCTTTCGTAAAGTTCGTTTGTTCCAGGAATGTTTTCTTCAGTTTTCTGCAAAAATATAACTCGTAAAAGCGAAGTCGAAAAACGGTGGCTAAAAATGGACTTCGAAAATATAAACTTTATCCAAACGATCTTCGAAAAATACACTTCACTTTTGAGATTATATACTTATAGCATTACAGGGCTTTCGTACTGCTGTGAAAATCCATATTGTAACTGTTAAGAATTGCACATAAATCACAAGTGATTCTGGCGACTAAATCTTTATTGCAGGTTTTGACATACTTCTAATTCACTCTACCAAACAACGCATAATGAAACATCGAATCACATGACACGTAAACTATGTGGAACTATAGTCATGAAACTTATCTGTGTGAATCTAACATAATTTTAACACCGAAAAAATCACCATGCACGACAGCTAAATATAAATGAATAACATTATTTTTAAAGAAGTGTGAATTTTACGGGAAAACAGGTCTCATTCTTCCCGGCATTTATTCGTTTATGTTTACTTAAATTACAAATTTCAGAACATTCATTTCATTTCCACCTTCAAATGTGACACACCCAATAAAAGTCACTGCAATCCCACATTACTGGTGTCTCACATCAAATCAAATCAGATAAGATTAGATCAAATCAGGGGTCCAGTCTGTTCTGTAACTTTACTATGATGGCTGCCACTACAAGCAACAATGAGAAAGAGTCACTGAAAGTCAATGTTCACTTGCTAAAGTTGGCTTCGTTGTGTTGTTCAGTGATATCAACTCTCGATTTAATCACTAACATTAACAAGGGATAGACACTCTAAACTCATTTCACCTAGGCTGAAAGAATGCGTGCAGTTTCTCTTGATATTTTTAAAGCTTTTGCTGGATAACCAACAATATTCAGAACAAAACATACGATTCAAGCAACATAAAAGAAAACCTAGATTTGAAAAAAGCAAACTCAAGCCGCATAAATATTTGCACGAACTTTTGGACCATCCTTTAAAAATCTTAAGTTGACTCATCATTCGTGCATGAGTAGTTGAAACAAACATCCCCAGGAAAATATCAAACTTGAGGAAAAACTCCAGAAATGGTAAGAAAAACATAAAAGATTCCATGTTGTATATACTTGACAAATTCATTTGAACTCTCTGGATTAACATATCCTCTATCCTAAATAGAAATAAAGATTTGAAAAATGTATTAAAAACGTCTAATTTGCTGTCGCACAGTATGGCATGAATCCCCAGTTACTTCAGGTTCTTTACTTAGCACCCGTCACCTGCACCAGGTAGCGTAGGCAGGCTTGCTCCTGGGTGGGAACTATGTAAAAGCTACCAAGGCGGCCATGCCGACTGTGAACGGGCAGCGGCCTTTCAGCTGGCAATAACACACCTTACAGCGGAGAAAAAAGGGGGAAAAAAATCAGAAACAGGTTTTACAAGTTGTAGTGCGCATCAGTTGTTCTAAGTAATTGCATTTAGTTTATTTACTGCAGTACAAATTTCAAAAGGCAAAATGACCAAAAATCAAATCCAATGCAATGAATTCGGAGATTTTAGTTCACACGTTTCAGGCCACGACTGCATGCAGCCACCATGTAACAGTAGTGGAGGGACTGTCTTGAACAATTTGACCTTTGCGTCAAAAATAGCAAAAGGTCACATCAATATGCGTAATCATCATAATTATGATCATATGGATATGAATAGGAATGAGGTGTAGGGTAAAATGTATGGCACAAGATGACATTTTATCTCATACACAAGATCATCTTGTACCACACTTTCTGATCCTGTGCTATTCCTAACCCTTACTAAAGGACATCTTGTGCCATACATTTTACCCTACACCTCATTCTTATTAATATCATATGATAATAATTTTGATGCTTACGCATATTGATGTGACCTTTTGCTGTTTTTGTCGCAAAGGTCAAATTGTGCCAGACGGTCCCCGCACTACTGGTATTAAACTTGGTTGACCAAACCAACTTTTGTTCCAAATTGTCCCTGACTGGCACCGTGTCGCTTGGATATTCTGGGTTTATTCAAAAGAGAAAAATCTGCCCAGCAGCAAGAAAAAAATCCACTTCATTCTACCTGTGGGTAAGAGAAGTTCTCGCTCAGTGTTGATCTTGGTTCTGTCAGACCAGTAAGCGCTGTCAAATTCCTTCTTCCGTTCATAGTTGTTCCATTCACTGGGACTTGCTGTCTTGCCAAGTGCAATCTGCTTAACCAGATGTATTTTTTAAAGTTGGCAGAAAGTGTGGTACAAGATGACCTTGTGTATAGGATAAAATGTCATCTTGTGCCATACATTTTACCCTACACCTCATTCCTATTCATATCCATATGATCATAATTATGATGATTACGCATATTGAGCAGCTTTTTTTACCACACAACGGGTGGGTGAAAGGGCATGAGGCTCCTTACCATGAAAATAGGACCCAAAAAACAGTGCCCAATTTCACTGCTGAGCACACGATTTCATGCTAACAGGGCTTTGCATATTTCATGGAGACCGTAAGCGGCTAGTACAGCAAAAGGCCCTTTTACTCGGAGGAAGAATTTGCTCAACGTAGTGAAAAAATGGAAATCATTGTGCATGCGCACCATAAGTACAAACACGCCATCACAGCCATGAAATTGTGCTTCTGGTTAGCAAAATATTATGCTTCAGGAAGCACAACTTCTCTGCTGTTAAGGTGCTCTTCCACATGTGTGTCAACACTTGTGCCGTCGTGCATCCGTTAAAATCGCTCGCGGGGCGATTTTGACGGCCAAAGGCAAACGCACGTGTTTTATGTTTGAGGAGTTGACTTTTGGGTCCAAGAAAGTGAAAAAATAAACGCATCGTGTCCGTACCCAGAACCCGTATGTGTGGAAAGGCGCCTTTAAGCAGCCCCGTGATCAATTCAAACTTCTGCAACTTCTTCCATAAATATGTCCCCGAACTCTATGAAAGGATTAATTTTTCTCTGTCAGAAAAAAAGTGAAAGCACAATGCAGGCCATCATGAAGACACACGAAAGAATCCTCGTTCTGTTTTTCTTTAACGGTTTGATTTACTTAGCCTTTGATTGTTTGACAGCTTAGGCCTACCTCCATCAGAAGGAAGAACTTGGAGTCTTTCTGGCCAAACATTCTTCCACTTGAGGACATGGCGTTAAATGAGGTAGATGTGTAGATCCCCTGCATGACATTTTTTTTAAAGAAAAAGAAAACATCTTCTGAAGACTGCTCACTATACAGACCGACTACAAAATAATTATTGAAAAACTCGTAACCCCCAAGGGATGTGAAAAAACTCACACTGGAGGCCTGAGGGAGAAATTCAGCGAGGTTCAATTCGCATTGCCCGGGGTTAAAATAATATACGTGCTTTTCTGTTCAATGTATAAAAATTATTTGACATCCCTTTTTCGGTAAAGTGTAATGAAAAAGCACTCTTTAAATATTTAAACCTTGCACGCTTTTCTAGACAAACAAAGGCATTGTTGCTATGATATTTTTCCGTTTTACTTGTGAAAATTTGCTTATTGACACCACACTGAATCACCAAGAAAAAGAAAATCCAGGTTAACAAACTGGAAAACCGGTCTCGTTTATGTACAAAGCAATTTAAGTGTTTTCCTGGGTAACATCAAAGTTTTGCTCATGAATATGAAAATTTTCATAAGTAATACAATATCAGGGTGTCTGGCTTACAACTTTAAACCAACTTGAAATTAACTGAAAGTCAATCGTCTCGGCTTCCTACACATACAAAGTACTTAGACACCAGATTCAAACTACTGATTTCTTGGACCTAAGTTTGATTGTGGTATGGTAACTGTGGGGCTCCTGGTCAACGGTGTCGAGGCTTACAATCGGCCAACTCAACAAGCAGCTGAAAAATAAAGCTAAGGGGACGGATCCATGGTGGGGCAGTCGACTCCCAAGGGATCAACGAAGCTTCCCTCCACACACAGAACGGCCAGAAGGGGGCTGGATGCTGGCATAGGCAAGGGACTACAAGCGGGGTCTGATTTTTAACTAAAACAATACACAGCCTTATTTCTAATGACAATTTGTCTTTACATGTCGTCTGCGTAGGATTAGCTTGTCCGAAGCCCGTTTCGAACACGGCCCTAGTATGGGCGTGCGCGCCTGTGCCTGCCTCCGCATTAGCATCCAATGCGCAGGCGTATCGCTGGGCGAATAGCGCCCACGCTGATTAATTAACACCTTTTTTTGGCAGATTTCCCCATCTTGCACCGCTACCCGGCGCTGTAAAATCTTTAGGTCTGCCTTAGCACAGTCCCTTCGCGCCTTATATAGCCTCGTGAGCAGGCCACTGCCGCGACTATGCCTAGGTGCGCGCTACATGTGACAAGAGTGACTAGCATTGCCCAATAACCTACGAGCTATAGGCGCATTTCAATTGATGTGACGAACAGTCTTTTCACCTCACGCACGTGCGCATGCGGCTACCACTCTCTGATCTCCGGCCTCCAAACCTCTAAAGCAGCATTTTGCAGCCAAGGAAACAAAATGTGTTTTCTTTTCCGTCAGATTTTAGGAGGAGGAGTATGGATCATCTTCGTGATTATTGCCCAAAACGTTATTTTGTAAATGAAGTGTTTTTGTTGCAGATACTCATGAGCGGTGGCGATAATGTTTCATTGGACTGCAGTTTAAGATGGCCAGTTCTTTTTAAATACTTTAGTATCCAAAGTACAACGAAAACATAATTCGGCACAACGAACAAGGTTTCAATGCGTATGAGAGCCGGCAGCTTGGTCTTTGAGCTGGTGTTTGGGTGGCTGAGTGGTGTCTGGGGCGGGAGCTTAGACCAGTGTGTGAGTTTTCATTTGTTTAGTTGGCTCCTTGTTGAGGTGTTTGTCGTGATTGTTTTTACTCGGGTTTTGTTACGTTTTCTGGCTGGATCCTAGCCGTAAGCACTGTAAGTACGCGCTGTTGCTTAGTCCAACGACGTCAGTAAAATGAAGAAGGTGAAGACTGCGGACCGCACTGCATGATCTCGTGCGCGTGCATGTTACGTGGTAGCGTACAGAATATCTTATCGCCCTGTTCTTGGGCAAACTTGGCGTAGCGTAGGAGAACAGGCCTGGCCCCAACCTAGACTCCATGGGTTACGTGTACGTTCCTTTACCAACCCCTGGTCGTGTAGACTTCGAAAATGACGCTGACTGGCTACTCCGAATGAATATACATAAACGTAAAGTTAATCACACGCATATTTCAAAAGCTACACGCTCGCCCGTAAACACACTGACTACAGGCTTAATTAAATATCCCAAAAAGTAGGCTATTTAAATTATACAATACCGGCGGTTAGATTACGCAAGGCATGGTGCGAACCAACAAAGCGCGGCAATATCGTACCCATGGGAACGAGGTTGGCCTGACCCCTCTAGCTTTTATGATCCTCTATGTAATAATAATAATAATATGAGCATTTACAAAGCGCACAAATACACCTGAGAAATATAATAGGCGCTCATGGCGCTGAAAAAGTTTAAGTAAATTAATTGCAGCTATGTACAGGAAAATAGATATGCTTAAAACCTAGCACCTTAGGCAAGCTTATAAAATTTTCTCTTGAGTGCTGTTTTGAAACTGCTGAGAGATGTGCTGGACCGGACGTTCGAGGGGAGACTATTCCGCAAACGCTGGGCAGCGATACGGATCTGTCTCCCCAGGATCGGTCCGATCTCGTTACTGCCGGAAGATGCTGGTTAGCAGACCGGAGACCTAAACGACCGGAATTGTGTGGAGACAGGAGTGAAGACAGATACGGGGGAGAAGTGTTACGTAGTGAGCGCTACGTTAGAAGCATTAGTTTGTACATGATTCTATATTTGATGGTAAGCCAGTGGATATGCTGAACGGTGGCAGTTATGCGTGAGGAGCGTTTGGTTCGTGTAATGAGGCGCGCAGCACAATTTTGTTATGCTGTAATAGAGCCTGAAAGTAAAAGGTCACGCAGCGAGCTTCCGGAACCCTCGCGGCACGGTCCTCCTATGGGGATTTTACGTTGGCCGTCCTATCACGTTCGATAATTTTTTGAAGAATAATTCCTAACTGAAACCAGCCAATGAAACACTCATGTTGGAATTTTACCTTTGCCTTCCTCAAGTAATATGTTGGAAAAGTTACACTGAGATATGTAAAAAGTAAATTTTCTTAACAACCTTTCACTTCCGGCGATATCGTACCTAGGTCTCCATGTTCATGCAAGTTTGCTTTCAATGCCCGTGCTCACGGGAAAACGAGATTGTTCAACGTAGCAAATAATTTACCAACTTGCAGTCGATGGGTTCCAGATTCCGTTGAGTTGACATCACGCAGTTGTTGTCAGCAAAGGTTAGATAAAAGATTAAAATCTTTCGTAATTGAAGTAGAATATTGCTTTAAGTTTACTACTTTATAAATTACAAGACTGTTTAAAATATTTTGTCTGGTTTTATTTCGGTTTTTACCAACGGACAACCATAAAATATCACAAATTCTAAAATGTTTGCACGTTATTTATCCTATCCAAGGGTTCCGGAAGCGCGCCATCAGGGGTCAACTTTCAGGCTCTATTGATTCAGCAGTTGTTAATGAATGCCAAAGAGAGGAGATTTGCACATGTCAAAGTGCGAGGTAACGAAAGCGTGTATTAGTCGTTTTGTCGCTTTTTCCGAAAGGTGTTTACAAATTTAACTGAGGTTTGAGAGGTTGTTTGTGATCTACTTCGAAATGTAGGAAGTGTGTGATTGAAAGGTCAATGCAGAATCCATAACGATCCCTAGGTTATGAAATCTTCAAGAAGGAACGATATCTGAGTCTCCTACAGTGATATGGTTAACAGTGACTTTACCGAGTAAAGCTCTTTTATTTCACTACGTAGAGCGCCATCTATCGCCCACGCTGTGCCTTTCACCTAACGCCCTCTGTCGCGTCACAATATGTTCGTTGAATTAGTTTAATATTAAATTTGTTGAAAATTTCATCAGTCCTTTTCCACACTACTTCTTCACAAAAGCTTTGAACCCAGTTTTGCTGACAAAACTATTAAATGTCATGTAACTAGTTCTGAGACAATCATGGCACAGAACCAGTAGGTGAGGTTTTATTATCCATGCTTCGTTCCAGCTGGGCTGATGGGGAAAACTTTACTACAGACTGCTACAGACTGTGTATTGGATGGATCAATACAACTGCTTGCCAACCTTACCTCTCCAAGATTACAGTACCGGTCGTCTGGTTTGTACTCTCTGTCTGAGACTGGTATGCCCAGCTTCATGGTAGACAGCAGGTTTGCTGAATTGCAGTTGTGCCAAAGCAGCTTGTGGTTGTCCAAGCGGCAAGACTGCAATCGCTCCTCCTCGCCTTTGCGAGACATTCGGAAAATGGCCTTCACCTCGACATTATTATCACCTCTCACTTGGAGACACACAATGAGGGCCCGGATAAAGACAATAAAGTGATGTTTCTTAAATTCACGTACAAGGCAATCAAGGAGTTGAATGTCTTAACCCATACAAAATACATGGAATGAGGGGTATGGTGATATCATGTGGCCGTCGAGTAACAAGGCAGATTCTGAGAATTTTCTCTTCAAAGTCCTGATATCATCACAAATATCAAAAGCAACATCTTGTTATATTTTTTCATTAAAAAAGGCAGCTGAAGATGCACAGATCGGAAGAAGATACAAAAAGACTACAAGATTGTCAGAGGCTTCCCCTGGGGATGTATGATATGGATAATAGAACCTGAGTACTTTATTTCTAAGTTCAGGATACCCAACAAATGTACACTGTTTTTCACTTTGGTTCGGCCTCAAACTAGCCCTGCCTTCTCAGTGAACACATAAATTCTTAGTGGTAAAGAGATAAATAGACACCGATTCCCCTAGTTATAAAGTCAGGTTTGGCTCTTGTGAGGGGATAAAAACTAGTGTTCTGGTCATCTGCATAATAGAGCTCTTAGGAGTAGTTACACAATGGTAAAAGAAGTGTCACACATATTGTCATTGTCTACCTGCATGTATTTTATTCACGTTCAAGTACAAAATTCATGCTCAAAGACAAACTGAATGACTTGCTAAGCTGAACAATAAAGTGTTACCAGCTGAAATACCATCGGGTTTGTACCATCTAGAATTAATTAGCTGAAAGCTCACTTCTGTTCAGCTGGAGAATATATAATTAAGTACTAAGCTTTTCTACAACACTGCACCTACAGTTGTTCTCAAAAGTATTCATACCTTTGGAAAATAATATACCTTTCTAAATTCTTCATTTGTAAAAGCAATTATGTTGGTATTTCCATTATATCTTTTGTCGAATTGTTGCAATGCACAAACCCACATATGTATTGGCTAAACTTCATTTGCATGATAATAGATACGGCCTGGGTTTCTTTTTTGCTCCTGTTCAAAAATATTCATACCCGATAGTCCATTGTCTTTTCTTAATAGTCAATAGCGTAACCTTTGTTCTTGATTACTACCTCAAGACGATTCCTATAAAAAGTGTCCACAAGCTTTCTGCATGTCTCCTGTGGGATGTTGGTCCACTCTTCCTTGGCGAAAGCCTCGAGCTGGGTCAGGTTGGATGGTCTCCTGGCCATCATTCCAGTATTCGGCACCCTCTACAGATTTTCTTTTGGATTTAGATTATAGGTCAGGACTTTCGCTTGGCCGTGGAAACCACTGTCCTTGAACCACTGCTTTACTACTTTGGTGGTGAGCTTGGGGTCATTGTCCTGCTGGTACGTCCAATCCGGTTCAAGCTGGAATTTCTCCGTAGACGCTTTCACTTTGTCATCCAGGATCATGATATAATCCTCCTTTTTCATGGTGCCCTGTATCTTAATGAGGTTCCCAGTGCCACTGGCAGAGAAGCAACCCCACAGTTTTATGTTGCCATCACCATGCTTGGTGGCGGGGACTATGTGTTTCAGCTTGTATGCTTCTCCTTGCTTCCTCCAGACGCAGCCAGTGTACCGTGAATGCCCATAAAGAAGGCAAACGCTACAAGGCAATTTCCAAGCAATTGAGGTCCCTGTTGCAACAGTTCAGAGTATCATCAGGAAGCATAAGAGGTTCAACACGGTGAAAAACCTCAATGGGCGTGGCTTGAAGTTCAAAGTATCTCCCAGACTTGCCAGAGAAATCTGCCAGGAGGCCAACAACAACCCACAGATCGCAACCAAGGCCATAGAAAGATGGAGTTGTTTGGCCACATGGATATTACCTACGTCTGGAGGAAGCAAGGAGAAGCACACAAGCCGAAGAAAACAGTCCCAACCGTCAAGCACAGTGGTGGCAACATAATGCTATGGGGTTCCTTCCCTGCTAGTGGCACCGGGAACCTCATAAGATACGGGCACCATAAAAAAGGAGGATTATATCGTGATCCTGGATGACAAAGTAAAGCGTCTGCTGAGAAATTCCAGCTTGGACCTGATTGGACATACCAGCAGGACAAATTATGACCCCATACACACCACCATAGTATTAAAGTATTAAAGCAAGTGGTTCAAGGACAGTGGTATCCATGTACTGGAATGGCCAAGTCAAAGTCCTGACCTAAATCCAATAGAGAATCTGTAAAGGGAGCCGAAGAGGGAGTGATGGCCAGGAGACCATCCAACCTGACCCAGCTGGAGGCTTTCACCAAGAAAGAGTGGACTAACATCCCACAGGAGACACGCAGAAAGCTTGTGAACACTTGTAGGAACCGTCTTGAGGTAGACATCAAGAACAAAGGTTACGCTATTGACTATTAAGAAAAGACAATGGACTATGTAAACCTGGGGTGTGAATAATTTTGACCGTATCTATTATTATGCAAATGAAGTTTAGCCAATACAAATATGGGTTTGTGTATTTCAACAAACAGAAAAAAGATACAATGGAAGTGCCAATATATTAGCTTTTAAAAATGAGGAAGTATGTTATTTTCCAAAGGGTATGAATACTTTTGAGCACAACTGCACATGTTAGCTAAGGGTTTGAATTCCTACTAGAGAAACAGTGTTCAGGAAAAACATTGACACAGACACTCACTGGACTGGTGGATAAACTGCAGCAGATGTCGTTTCTCCTCGTCATCTTTATCCAGAAGTTTTAGTTTGCAGTCTAAGGCACGATAAATGTAGTCCAGGGGATGGATTTCTGAAAACAAAAATCACTATATTCCACTTCTGCTTCCAGCTGCCAGTAAAATAATTTCATCTCATTCACAACATGTTCTTCATAAACAGAGCTTTGGCACTTTTAGTTCAATTTTTTTTTGGGGGGGGAGGAGGAAGTCAATTTCTCCATAAGACCAACCCTGTTTCCTGTACATCGCCCCCAGTAAGATCCTGTTGAGCATCTCCAGGTCCATCAGATCAAAGAGTTTCTTTCTCTGCTTCTCCAACTCATCCTGGATGGTAACTGGCCGCACTGTGATGTGTGAAAAGTTCTCGTAAGGAATCAGCTGGTGCAGATACTGATTGCTTAGGTCATAAAGCTGCGTGAATAAAAAAAAATACAAGATGGCGCAGTAACAAGCCACAAATAAAAGACAAGATGTAGCCTCATCGAGGCACAGAATCACTGAGCATTCCTGCAGGTTCCCGGGTATTGTATTCCCATGCAATTTTTCTGTTCTGCGTATTAGAATTGGGCTGTGAAGACGCAGAATATTATCACCATGGTTGTCAATGCTGGGATGCTTTTATCATTTTTTCCCCACCGCAATTTTCGGTTTTATGATCTATTTTTGCCATATTGATTTATATTTATAATCCATTGGCTGCTCCTATTTTGTGGCCATTTCCTCGATCCAATCTCGATCCATCTCGATCGATCCAAACAGTCCTCAATTCTGAAACTGTTCAAGGATTGAGGACTGTTAGGATTAAGAAAGGCATTCCTGACACAGTAAGCACATGCACAAATCCAATTATTCACCAGTTGGTTATCACGAGTTTTACTTGAATCAAATTATGCTATCTTTGATTCAGGATGAGTACATATTCATTGCATTCCTGTGAGAAAAAAAGTTGTATTTTCCCCTTATTCCGTAAATGTATATCAGATACAGAAATTACTACATAATACAAATGTTTCTAAGCTACAACCTGGTTTGCAAAAGAGACAGACAATTGATAAAATTGCTCATCATATTCATTCAAACTGGATAACAGAGGTTCTAAGACTATATCCTTTGGTTTTTCTTTTTTGTGCCTCCTCAAACAATAAAAGCAGCCACATCAAGACACCCTCTCATCAATAAATGCACATTTTTTTTACATCTCTGTCTAATTTCAAAATCATCATTAAGTCACACTTTTAAAACCAACAAGGTGGGTGTCTAATAAAAATTTATTCCTCCAAAATTTATTGTACCTTTTCTGCAAAGTAGAGATCTCTCTTTTGAGTAAAACGGACTGGTCTTTCCCCCGTTGAAGCTGAAGTTGCATCTTTAGAATCTTTAACTTGCGGGATTAAATTATGTTTGGAGCGTCTGATTCTACTCTGGTGTTTCTCCCAGTCTCTCCTTTTGATCAACTCACTGCAGGAACAGAACAGTCAGGAATGCTTTTCAGAAAAACAACAAATATTTCGAACGATTTTTTTTTAAAACCAATGTTGCAATTTCACGACAAAAATTCAACAGCCCACCCTCCATTGGCAGAAGCTGCTTGATGGACACGTACAAATTTTCATCACCTGATCTGGTCCAGAACTTTTTTGGCCTCCAGTACCGTGTCTCTTGAAAAGTGGCCAAAGTTCATGATGGAGGTGTCGACCTTTGTTTCCTTGAGAGCCTCCTCTAACACCTCGGGCTTTGTCTGAAAATGTAATAATTTACAAATGAGTTCGTCGTCGACTTTATTTCGTAGTGGCGTGGTCTACTTCTCACAAGTCCATCATTAACCAAAGTCAGGAATTACTGAAACTGTAACGGCTCTCCTGAAACTGCTTCCTGGTTCGTATGACGTGACTTGTGACCTAAACAGATAATTATCGCGTCATTTCACTCCCGAGGGTCTCCAATACATGTGTCTATTTTGAGGCAATATTCCATTCGGTAGGCACATTTTTTGTTTCTTGTGAGAATTTGAAAACACCAGAGACAAACCAAGCATTAATAGGTGCAATAAACACAGCTATATATTATTTGTTGAGCTGAAATACCACTACACTACGGCAGTATGGCTCTGTACCGTGTGATGCAAACACAGTTTACACTAAAGAGCCTTCTGTTACAACCGTCAGTATAGCAAGGGCAATAGAAATCAAACTCACCCACATGCGAAGGACATGTTGGATTTCCTCTGGTAGTTTGCAGGGCACAGGTGAATCCAAATCAAAGCGGAAATCTCTGAGTGCACTGTTCCTCTTTGCTTTCCAAGGCTTGAACTCCATCAGTGCATACATATTTGGTTTCTTCTGAAATCTGCAGGTTTTAATAGGCAACAGCAGAAGAACAGTTTTTGCATTGGCTGCACAATGTGAAATTGTGATCATGTTGATGCTCACTTCAAATAAAAGTTATAGAAGTAGGTTTCCATACATAAACTACAGGGCCCAATGTCAAAGAGTTCCTTGAAAGTTAGTAGAAAAGCCACGCTTACTATATCAAAAGTATATTGCTCACTATAAGCTCTGTTTCATGGCAGTACTTCATGCGGTTGTGCTTTCCATAACTCATGCATAGGTATTTCCGTATGTATTTCACAACAATGGGCAAACTTGTCCTCCAAAATAAGCGTGCCTTTTGCTGTGCTTACCGCTTCCCCATGAATTAAATGGAGTCTCTATCCGTCAGCATCAAATCAGGTGCTCGACGGTGTCGTGGAATTGGGTACAGATATGAAAGGGGATTGGTGGGTTAGAGGATTACATTAAAAGATATCTTCCATCGAGTAGCGTAGCTACGATTTCACTCGTGGGGCACCTTAGGGGGGCGCCAGCATCTTATAGGTGCGCCAGCTTTCGGTGGTGTGGGTTTTGAGGGGCAAGCTTTTGTTAGCCTTGTTCCATATCCATTTATCCGTTGTTTTTGGTTTTGTTTTTTTGGTGGGGGCATCTGGAGGCACTGGGAATTTGTGGGGGGGCACATTCCTCCCCCTGTCGTGGCTACGCCACTGCTTCCATCTCTGTGACCTTGGTTTGAACCTCCTCCTGGTATGGATTGTCTTTCCAGTCCCTACCTGATTATCCCTTGAACTATTTACCTGGGGTTCATATCCCACCTCTAAAACTTGACACCCCCTCATTGTCACCTTCCAATTCCCAGGGGCCCTGAGGGAGAACCGTTTACAACGGGTAGGGTTTTATACCTTGGGTCGAATTTTGAATGAATTAATTAATAAAACATATCAAATAAACTCTCTCCTTTGTATTTTTTCGGATTATACGGCTCAACTTGCTTGTTCCAAGAGGACGAATCACTTATCTTTACAGTACAATATCTGATGATATTATTATAAGTTATTTTGACCTCTCTTGATATAAATAAACTTTGTGCTTTTAATACAATTATTAATCCAGTGAGTGACCACTCTAAATTAGGGTACAAAAATGGCCCCGCCTTGCTCCTACAAAAAGAACAATTCAAAATGATACCGTATTCCCCCAACATTGAAAGGTCTATAATTTCTGGCTAGTGGGCAAACATCAGTGACGACATGAAATCATGCGAGTTGCAGGTTGACAACAGAAGAAGTTGTTGAACAATCGCAGCATCCCGTAAAGTGACAAAAGGGGAGTTAAAATATTTGTTTTTAGAAGTGTGAAATATACATTTTACAGCCAAGCGTGTCGGCGATGTCGCTAGATATCGACCTCTTCCCACATTGCAGTGAGCATACTGATTAGAACTCTCTAACAATGGTTCGACAGTAATTCGAATTGTCCTTATTGGTCCACAGTCCTGTAGTTACAACTAACGAGTGACTCACCGTTTGACATCTGCCCAGTTATTTTCACTTTTGGCTTTGAAGATCTTCTCAAACTCAGCGATTCCTTCTTCCTTCTTGCAAAAATATGTGTTGTCGGTCTCACCATGGTAGCCTTTGAGAAGACCCCGGTGGGAATAAAGCCTTATGATGCCATTTGGAAGTTTATTCAACTGGGAAAAGCAAATACAGTTAAAGGATCAAAAGAAGTCATTAGTTCACTTTTAGACACTTATGATGTACAGCTGATTTCAAAAAGCAATTTATAATTCTCCATGGGTTGTCTCATGTACGTTTGTCTCATAATGATTGGATTATAATCCAATCATTATGAGACAAACGTATCGTCATCATCTCTTTACAGTCAATGCCTTTTTCAGAACATCACTACCTGTAATAAACATTGCTCTACTCAATTGTTGAAAGTACCGACCAATCAATTTGGTTGCCAAATTTTCTGTACACTTTCATCGAAGGGTGAAATTGTGTTGGACTTATATTGACGAAAGCCAAGAAAAACCTCAGTTTTACTAGCAAAGAAACAGTGGAGAACACGCCATATATATCATGAGTAAAGAAACACATACGAGCAGAAATGACCACGTACAGTCTGGCCATGTCAACCTGCAGACACGCACTGTGCTGAAAAAGAAAATCTTGCTTCCTTAGACTACTACAAGGGGAAGGACTTTGATCTCGAATAAATTTCACAAAAGACGTGGATTTCTACTGATGCATTTTTGATTGATTTCTTATTTTGCATAATGCGAATGCGTTGACTAAAGTTCCACTCACAAATTCATTCATGAGGCATTCCTGCAGGCATTTCAACAAGGTCAAATGCACTGGTGACCAAAAATCGTTACACCAAACGACGGCTATACGAAATGCTTTCTTGTGGACAAACTTAATTTTGTCACAGCAGTGTTGCACAGTACTTGGCTCAAACTATGCGACGGAGAAAGTGTTTTTTTCCGACACGACGCAGACAAAGAGATACATACCTGCAAGGTGAAGAATCTGCATCCACTCCGATAATCCTTTTCAATTTCCACTTTTGTCATGCTTACACGGTATGGAATATTCTGTTCCTCATCCATCAGGACATTCCTTTAAAAACAATTTCAACTTCAGTAAATTACGCAGTTGGTGATTCAAGTAATTGCACGGGAGGATTCCAATTGTATTTCTTCCTTTTTCACAATTCAGTCTTTCCACAAATAAACAAATTCATGCAGTTCTTTAGTAGGCTAAAACTGCAAAATGGACAAACTATCAAATATTAACACACTGTCATAATCGCTTCAAAAATGTGGAAGAGTCTACCTATCCAAACAGTCGCTAGTTTAGCAAAATTCCTTTCAGTGCAGTGCGCCCTTGATTGGTGTAACGAAGCGGCGCCACCACACTCATTCTTCCTTTTTGGAGCACGCAGTCCGAGTCAAAGTGAGGAGGACGGGCGGGCGCTGTTAGGCATAGAAGATGCTCCCACACTATTGTGTGGGAGGAGTCCACTGCGCTCATTCTACCCAAACAGTCGCTACTTTGGCACAGCAGCACTGTACCGCTGAGGAGGGTTGGCGAATGAATGTGAGGAAAAGGTAATTAATGCCTGGAACAAAAAAGGGGGATGTTGAGGACCTATTGAAAGGAGAAGGAAGCCATCAGATTGGTCTGGAGTTGACCAACCGAGGGTCCTCGAGGTCTCGTTGCAGAGGACAGGATTGTCTTGCAAAAGGAGAAGTCACTTTGCTTGAGTAGCAAGAAGTGAATGCTGAGAGTATTTTCCAGCATGCTGCCCTGCAGATATCCTCCGTTGGGACGTCACCGAAGAATGCCTACGAGGTAGATACCACCCAAATGTCAGGACCTGTGATTAGGCAGCTAGTTTTTATCATCTGAAGAAGTCTGCCATTCGGGACTGGTGAATTTGACAGCAAAAACAACCCATTTAGCCATTGTCTCTGCTTCCTGGTCGATGAGGTTTCTTTATGTAATAAAGTTGAGAGATTATACCTCTCAGTTTTGAGTCCTGGCCAAACCAAAATGCTTTGTTATATTGGGAATGCTCCATGAATATACCACGATGAAGGTGTTTGCGGCATTGTTGTCCGACAGAGAGGAACCATCCGGAAAACCGCTACAGACAGCTGTGATGGCTTAACAGTGGTTGAGGTGGTTGCAGTCCCAAGTTGAATAAGGAGGAAGAAATCGGCAACTGCAGTTATATACACTTCCGTCGGAGCCACACCCTGTAAAAATATCGCATTTTCCTTAGTGTCTTAGTGGTCTGAGTGGGCGGATGAGAGGAATCTTTTTTAGCAGCCTAGTTAGCCGGGGTTACTAGTGTTGTCAAGGCCAGAACAAAGCTAAAGCGACGAGAAGGACATGGCAACGCTCCCGTTTGATTTTGGACAGCACTACCGGGACTAGGGATACTGGAGGAAAGGCGTACGCGAGGGAAGAGCGTCTGTCTTCCATGCTTATGGATGAGGGAACTTGGTGCAGAGCAACGCACGTATGTTTCACCCCCATTCAATGTCTGAATCAAAGAAACGACACATGGATGGTATGGATAAAAACTAGCAAATGCTATGAAGTTCAAACAAACAGCAAAAGCATTTACTGAGAAGTAAAACCATTACAAACAAGCAAATGCTTGAATCTGTATGAATAAAGAGTTCTTTTTTTACTATTAAGCATCTATTAGTATAAATATTAGCAAATGCTTTATGCTTGTGGCTGACAGCACAGCTGAATGATTTTGCACAATAGGGCTTCCGTTGTCGGCAGGTACAGACGCGCAAAGTGCAGCACAGTGGTGTATCTTGAGACTTCAGCATGGCAAATGAGCACGATGGCAGTAATTTTGATCGCAAAAACCTTGATGAACAAAATTGCTCTGCCACTCTCAAATCGAATGACACTTATGAACGCTGCCATTTCGGAACAATAGTATAGTAGTAAAATGCACAACTCGAGAAATTCCAATTGTCAAAATCTACACATCCATTAATTAACGATGGCACCAAGAAAAAGGACGAACATGGTGGCGGCACCGCGTCGTAGCACTAGAGGGCGCACTACTGTTGTTTTTTAGTTTTAAGAGAATCGCAAAAGGTGTGAAAGGAAATTTGTTAAAGAAGAGACTGTTTGGGTAGGATGACAGCAGTGGACCTGATAATCTAACATTTTACAAATTAGTCTGAGACATAATTTCAAAGACAAAGACTAAGTATCTGCTCGATCCATACCTATTCAATCAGCCCCTAAGGTCTATAGTGAATTTGTAGGCTGTTTCGGACAAAGACAACAAAAGGAATCAGAACAAAATCATCTAAGAGTCACAAACCCTGGTCGTCCTACCTCAACTCATCTTCTTTTTCCTCCTCTTCAGGTCTTGAGTCATTTAGTTGTCTTGCCTTGCTGCGTTCCAACTCAAGAAGCTTTAGCATTGCTTGAGAATCGCCGTCTACATCGGGCTGGGATGAGGGGAAGTCCAGACCGTCGGACCAGGCTGGGGAGGCAGGCTTGGGACAAACAATATTTGTATAGAATTAAGTAACAAAGAGGCGCTAGCATGGTCGTGCCAGACTTATATAACACCTCACAAGTTACAGGAAGGAAAATTACAAGGGAATGCTTTTCTCTCAAAGTTGAATTTAGTTTGAACATCTTGTGATAGTATGGGGTGGCTTGACTGTGACCAGCAAGCTTCCCTGTGTGAATCACACTAGCACGCTGTGGACCACTACAGATGGAAGGGATATAGATTTCATAACTCCAAGAAAACCTCCACAAAACACAATAACACAGCACATAAGTACCCTTGCATTGCTCTGAGAGGTATATGCCCTTCAAGCATGTCTTATACAAACAGACTCAAATCTCAAGTCAGTTTGAAATGAGGAATTTATCAACGTCTCTTCCTTAATCAAGAAATGACCCGGAAAAGCAAAAACAATTGGCGTATTTTCAACTCTTAATAGTGATTACATGTATTTTGTTAGCATTTAGCGGTTCTGTTGCATCAGCTCCAGTCAGTTTCTGAAGAGCTGTGGCCATCTTTCTGGAACCAGTCTCAATGGTGTAATCCATCGGTGTCTTGCCATTTCGGTCCTGCTCGGACAAATTGGCTCCAACTCCTGCCAGCATTTCTAACATTTCCACATTCTCGTACGTGCCGTAATCGGACGTCTTCATCAGGTGGTGAACTGCAGTTCGGCCAAGTGAGTCCACAGCATTTACGTCCAGACTGCTCGTCAGACTACATTTGGGAACTGTGGATGAAGGGCAAGTTACAGAATTAAAATATAGAAGTTGGCCTACCTATGACTTGAATCAGTGATTATGATTTTCACAAATCCTGAGACAAGATTCTTGATCTGAACTTTTTACAACAATAGCCAACCTTGTGTCTGGTCTTGCTGCTCGTCTTCTTCGTAACAATCTAAAATGATAGTCGCATTGAAATCAGAATCTGTAGGAAAAAAAGTAAATTCTGATTGACAATCATGCCCGTATCTTTAAATAAGATAAATTCCAGTCCGTTCAAAACGATAGTGTGCTGCATGATCGACAACTACATGTCTCACCTAGAAAAAATTCAAAATTTGTTATCTCAAGACATAACACTCCACTGCAAAACTGACACATGGCAGTATTACAGTTTTCTTTTACGGCAGATTTTTCACAAAGCTGCTGCATTTTGAAAGACCCTTCCTGGAAATTTGTCAAATGTGGAAAATTTGTTTAGTATTAAGAGATGAACAGAGAAGTTGATCGGTTTTGGATTTGAGCCCATGACTTTTGGAACACCATGCCGGTGCTTTTCAACTGATTAACCAAGCCTTATGTTGGTAGTCTTTGCATGTAAATTTGTCAATATCTGTGCTCAGGGATAAGTAGGATTTTCTGCTTGACATGTCTACATGTACGTTCCTATGCCTACATCAGATACGGTGTTAATGATCTAGTTAAGCAGTTTTTACAATGTGATAAGGAGCTGAATGGAACCTTTCATGCTCATCCGTTCCTGTAAGTTGGCAGTCCAGGGAACCTTCTCCTTCAGGCCGGTGGCAATCTTTCTCATGCCGGCTTCCTTGGGATCGTAGGTATGGTCCATCAAGACGTGAGCAATGACAATCTCGTTCTAAAAAAAGTCACAGCCTCTTTGATTGTAATATGTGCATTGACAGATCCACTGACAAGAATCAGAAGTCATAATAAAACAAAGCTCACGTAAAGGTAACATGACAAGCCTCTCCAAAATACAGAACGGGCCACGTTAATGTGCACGTAAATTAAGTGAATCTCCAGCATGCACATGAACATAATGGCACAGCAGTAGGGGTCAAGTTTGAGTGACCATTTGTCCAGCCCTGGTCAATTTCACCCAGCAACCTGTGCACAAAAAAAATCATGGGTACCAGCCAAACTGCCGAATGAGGCCTCATTGAATCAATCTATACAAGTAGTTTATCTTGAACAAGGCCATCTAGCGTAAACGTTGTTCCAAGCCAGGCCTGCATCTCCACCTACAGCCCCGTTTCCCCCAACCCCTCTGTTCATGCACCTGGATACTATACCACAAATTGTTTATTTCCATTCATTATATCCTTGTCTCTGTCACAAGACTACACCACCAATACCACAATGACTTCTCTCAGTTTCGAAGTTCTGCAAAACATGGCTTGGAATGTACCTTCAACCAAAGCTACTGACATTTTATTCACAAAGTTAAGACCAGTGAATTGAAATGCGGCAATTTATGCTTGAAATTGACTGTGGATCGCCAATGACAGAAGTACTGTGGGAAAATGGCTTTAAATTCCATTTATAATTTTGATGACACATTTTTAATTTCATGTCAGACATTTTATCTCCTCCATTAAGTCACATTTAGAGCCACACTTTGTCGAGACGGCATGGTAACCGTTGTACGGGCCACATCCTAACCATTATTATGGAGAATAAGCTTCTAAAGAACGACCAAAATGACAAAGAATGAAATACTACCAGAAAATTATCCGCAGTGTTTGGATTTAGCCATACCTGTCTCACAGCATGCATAAGAGGCGTCATTCCTTGTCTGTCTGCAGCATTGGGACTGGCCCCCTTCTGTAGCAGGAGTTTGCAACCCTCGACGTTATTCATGAGGATCGTGAAGATGAGTGGCGTGACGTCAGTCGTCTTGTCATCCGGTAGATTGTGGTACCAATCTTGCAGAGACTCTGAACGGGTTACTTTCTCGTTACAGAGAAGGTTGACATTGGGGAAGGCGGCGCAGACATCCAGGCTTCCCTTATGCTTCTGGATCAGTCTGGAAGATGAAAGTCATTCAAAGAAGAAACACACTTCCATTTGCAGTGTGCAACAAATTATGACACAATTAGGGGACCTAATGAAAGTCGCCTACTGCATATAGTCCGCGAAAGGTGTAATAAATTTCGGGGCAGCGTAATATGAAACCGTTTTATGTTGGAAATGTTTTGCCAAACAAGTTTGAAATGAACGATTTTTTAAACTTATCACGTTCACTATAGAGGATATTCACCGACGTCAAATTGTCACGTGACTTTCCACTTGCTTGCTATATTGGCCGTAGAGCCGTGCATGAACTGCATAGTAACACGCAATTTGGATCGCTGTTTGAGAAAAAAAAAGACGAATCCCATGAAATAAATAGTGTTTTTGGACACTGCTAATAACTAGGATGGTGTTCACAGTGCACGATATATTTCGAAAGTTTGGCAGTACTGTGAGACGATCGAAAGTCAATGCAAAGTCTGACGTGCGCCTCGTTAGAGAACTGTACTAACGTTAGTCCTACATGAACTACAGTCCTACAGCAATGAAATGCTGAATACTGCACAGTCGTGTGTGTGAGTTTGGAGTCAGGTTTTCACGTCTTATCTCAGCGATACATTTTGCTGTTTTATGGCACACCACTGCACAGCAAACCTTCACCATTTTACAGCGACAGCGAACAAACCGTGCTCGTACGTGTATTTGTGACTGTCATCATACGTCAGATGTTAAATTTCATTACAAAGTTGCCGGTTAAGCAACATTTGTGGAGACCCCCGCCCATTGCATTTGCTACTGTACTGCTTACATACAGCAGGAAGTTATGGCTGAAAGCTTTCTTTTCAAGTTATGGACAGTTCTTTTAATTCTTGAGTGTTCAACGGTCAAATTCATGACAAATCATACAACTTTGCATCAAGGGTATGTGTTACACTTTCACGGTGTGAAATCCCCTACAATTGTTGTTGGTGTGCAACATGGACAGACACCATGAAAGAGAAACACCATCAGTACTGCTTGTCAGTGCCGTGGTTGAGACCTCAAAAGACCATCACAAGACGAACACAAGACTTCTGTCTGAAGTAAAGTCACAATTCGAACAAAAAGTTTTCCTTTGTAATTGTCTTATTACTTGCAATTAGTCTTGCTTGTCCAGTGTCAGGTCTTGTGAATGGTCAAGTGATGATACTGACTTGCACATTGCTGCTTCTGACATGAGCTCAAAATCGAGGATAGAACAATGCACTCACTCGACAACGTCAACGATTTTCCTGTTATACAACATTCCCCAGAACAGCGAAGCAACTGGTACCCTGCCCCTGTGGTCCACACATGTGACACAGCTTTGAAAACCGACAGGATCTTTCTCTGAGTAAAGACAAGATCATTCGGAACACTCAATGAGATAAACTGAGGTAACTTCTTTTTCAGTGACAAACCATGAATATGAATGGAAATAGATTAACATAAATGTACTTCTATTGGTCTACCGAAACCTTACATGGTGGCCAAAAGGCTAAATTGCATACAATTTACAGGTGAAAAGTATAAAGTATATTACAGAATGTATGGTCTTTCTATACGAATATTATTATATGCATTGGCATCTATTACCCGGTATACCTTCCAAAATGGGAATTGAAAAAGCCCAAACATTTACTTCGTGGGATTCTGTGACAGTTCGTTTCTTCAAACTCACCTGCAAAGATATTACAAATTGAGGCATTCATGTTGACTGTAGCATAGTGCAGTGGAGTACAGCCTTTGTAGTCAGTGGCAAATAGCTTGACACCATTGTCAAGGAGAAACAAGACAATCTGAAGCAGCAGAGTATGAAATGAAATTAAAACAACATCCGTGGTTCAAGAAAATGGTCATAAAGCTGGATATTTTAAAAAGCCTAAATTCCAATTCCAATTGCGAAAAATATTTTCAAGATCAAATAGCAAAACGATTTCACTAACGGTGAAGAAATGTTGGCCTGGTGTTTATAATAACATATACAAAGAGATAGGAGAAATTAGATTTGCTGTAGCAGAGTAGCAGAACCACTGCCAGCTTGTCAGGTCACCTTATTCTGAATGTCGGAGCCTTCCACAGCGTGAAGGGCCAAGAGATGAAGTAAGTTCTGTGCCTTGTCATTGGTCATCTGCAGTTTGTCTTGCTCAGACAGCCTGCGAATCAAGTTATCAGCCAGCTGGATCTTCTGTCCTTCCAGGACGTCCTGGCATGACAGATATATGTAAGAATCTTGATGACGCGTGACCAAATGCCAATCAAAGTATTATTCAAAGTAGTAGACGTTGATTAGTAAACCAGCCTTTCTCTTTTGGTAGGGAATGGTTGCATTTTCAATTAATCCACAAAATTCTACAGCCAGTTGCCTGGGATTGTACCACTGGCAGTGTCCAATGTCAACCTCATTTAAGTATTTCTGTTTGCAGTACATGTAGCAGGTATTGATAAACATATGTTCATGCTTCTGTGATGATTCCCTTGGGTTTGTAAACATAGAAGGTCTCATCCTTCCATTACCATGACTGACCAAGTAAAGTGCATTATCCTAGTCGCACTCTAGCAAATAATGCTCCATGGTATTACCAAGAGCTACGAAACGTTACATTAAACAATATTGCACAGATCTTGTGCATATGACTCTCAGGAAGCAACATTTGTAGTGTCCCACTTCGTAGTGAGAAGTGACATCCTGTTGTTATTGCCCATCGGCCAAGCACATATTTAGTCCTATTCTTAAATATGTCAGGAGTCATAAAGTCAAAGCAAGTCAAAAATTCTACTGTTCAATGACTATGCCTAAACAAGCCAGCGCTTCATTATTTAAGACTAGCCACATAACAGACTCTTGACCAACTGGAATGGCTAATCTGTCTATCAAATGTAAAATACCATTTCAAAGTGATTTCAAAGAGTATTTGAGCAGACTGTGATATGTACCTCAAGGGCATCCAGGTAGGAAATTCCAGGCACCCCTCCTGAGGCTATTTTGTCCAAGATAGTCAGTAAAACACGCTCCCAGTCCTCATAAACTACTTCCTTCAAGATGGTGGTCCTGATGAAATGCTTGTCCACCTTCTCCTTCTGCCAGTCCCCATGAACCAACTGCTTCCGGATGGCAGTCCCGAAATACTTGTGAATCTCCTCACAAGAGAAATACACCTCCTGATTGATGCTGGCCCCTTCTTCGATCAACCTCCTTGTCATCCTGAACAAATGAGTGGGTTGTTTGGTAGAGTTAGGAGAATGGTTTGATGCATTCACTTTGCAAAAGCCATTAATAACTTTGACGTACTTATAAGCAGCAAAGAGGCACTGTTTATGCTGATGTTCAGGGTATTCAGAAATATTATAGCAGAGAATTCAAATAAATGATATTGTAGCAGTAAAGCCTCTGAGGACTTCCCGGGTCGGTCTCGACCAATAGCAGTGAGCGGCCTGACCTCTACGGACCGAGACGCAGATCCGTTTTGGCGGAAGTCTACCGCCAGGCCCGTAATTCGCCACAGACAGATCAGTCTCACACACCCTCAAACCACACGGGGCTGACAGACGGGGGACCAACGGGAAAAGAATGGGGGAACTGGATGCGAGTTTGTGCCTACTCTTTGTTCCAGGACTTTATTCTCCTATATAGGCGCACAGTGCCTCACCTACGTGTGGTACTAGTAATTAATCACAATATTATAGGTGCCATGATTTATTATCGATCACAAAATCAAGCTGACACAACGTATGAGGCTCCCCCACTGCGACTACTCGATTGGATGTAAATGATTGGATGATTGCAGCTTACACTATAACTCTGAACCAAACTGCACTTGGAGGTGAACTGTACATGGGGACAGTCGCAGCAGGAAGAGCTTTTTCACTGTGCCTGGAAGAGGGCGACTCTTAGCGCGCAGCCGCTTATAAACACAACGCTCACAACGTTGCTAAGCAACAAGCGCCTGATAGCGCACCAGTGGGCTATGCATTGCGTTACAATATCATTTCTGTTGACAGTACAGTCATTGCTTGAAACAAATGTGGCCGAGTACAACCAATGCTTCTAACAAACAGTCAAATCTTTGCGTAATTTGAGGCCTCTGAATTTTTCAGAACAGCTCCAGTAGTTAATCAGATTTCATTGGTTTTAATGCTTTAAATCATAAAAATCCACTATGATGACGTCAGAGGAGGGTACCTTGAGAGTAAGGGATTGGCCACTCCTTTTTTGGGGGGAGGGGGGAATAAGACTATAACTTTAAAGTCTGGGCAGAGGTCGTGACCTCCAGCGTGGTAACCCAAATCGGAAATTTGTTAATTAAATGAAAGTCCATATGCCATCACTTTCCATCATATCCGACTTCTGTTCATGCTGAAAAACCAGGTTTAGTCACTTTAAAGTCAGGGCCTCCCCTAGCCAGAAAAACAGAAAAAAATTCCAGCTAGCCTCTAGCCAATTCCCATAAGACTGTGTATTAAGTGGCCCCATGGGTTTATACAAGGCGTTATTTAAAAAGACGATGCCTGGGCCAGGCAGTGGAATGTCTTTTTTATCAGTGACAGCTGTCAGGAACTTGTCAGAGGCCTGTTTCGGCTGTCTTTGAAGTGTTATTTTGGTGGAGGGGGTGTTGTGGCTTGGCCGGCACGTGGCAAGACTCCCCTCTCAAATCAGGAAAGCCTAGGAAACAAGACCCATGACGGTAAACTGATGTACTTTTTGCGGGTTTTATGAGCTGTAGAGGCTAGAGGACAACCACCAAAGTATTTAAATGCCGTTAGGAAAGAATCTGGGCTCTGAAATCCGAGAATTGATACGGTCTCCTCACTGGAGCAGCTCCAGCAGCCATGTAAAAATCAAACCTAAACACGTCGCAGGGTAAATCAACTGAATTGAAGATCAAGTCGAAATTTGGAAAATGAACAAAATATCTATTAAACTCAGGCTATATCTTTGAAACCTTTCTAAATATTACTTCTGATAATCAATGCCAGAGACAAGATCATCAGAAGCATGTACTGCTTGAATGCTCATGCGGATAATGACACAATTGTTCACACCTCATTCCCAAACCTCTGCCATCAGATTTTCAAGAATACTGATGCAGTTGTCAAGCTGCGTCAGTTATTATGCAGTGAGGTTGCATGGACTATATTCCTACCATTTTCGTGAACAAGCCAATGCCATTGACAGCGGTGTACATCCGTCCTTATCCTGGATATCAAGATCGTCTTTTCGCTGAAGATGAAAATTATTGTCAAAGAATGAATACATGTATGAGACAAAAGTTTCAATTTTATGCAGAAAATTCACGGACATAAATCATTCGCATTCCTTTGTTGCTTCGATCCAGACAGTCTCAATACGATCTTTCAACACTCCATGCAAAATTGCCATCTTGAACAATGTAAACACATGCCCAACAAGTTTTGGAATGTGAAGAGAGCCTGAAAGTAAAAGGTGACGCAGCAAGCTTCCGGAACCCTTGCGCGGTCTGTCTATGGGGATTTTGCATTGGGCGGACCTATCACGTTAGATATTTTTGGAAGAATAATTCCTTATTGAAATCCCACGAAATACTCATGTTGGAATTTTACCTTTGTCTTCCTCAAGTAAAATATTTTAGAAAGTATGGATCGAGAAAAGTGGACAACCCAATTTTCTCCTGGTAGATTTTTGGGATTTTGGAAAATTGTTTGAAACTCAAATTTCCGCTAGCAAAAATTTGGATTTTACTTTAACAATTCTCTTGGCGCGTCAAACATGGACGACTAAAAATTTAAATTCCCTCAAGCAAATTTTATTTGATGCTCCAAAAGAGGAAAACCCTATGGAGCGTCAAAAGTGGACGACCCCATTTTCTCATTTTCTGCTAGTAGATTTTCGGGATTTGGGACTTTGTGTATAGTATTTTCAAAAACTGCAATTTTTCGCTAGCAAAAATTCGAATTTTACTTTAACAACTCTCGTGGCGCATCAAAAGTGGACAACTAAAATTTCAATTCCTACTGGCAAAATTACGGTCATGCTCCAAAGTGGACAACCCCATTTTCTTATTTTTTGCTCGTAGATTTTCCAGTTTTTTGAAGTCGCACCATCCCCTCTACAGCTCTTAAAACCCGCAAAAGTACACCACAGTACCGTCAGGGACCTTAATCCCAGGCTTTCCTTATTTGAGAGGGGGGGGTCATTTTTGAAAATGCTTTACGCAAAGTCCAAAATCCCGAATATCTACTGACAGAAAATGAGAAAATGGGGTTGTCCACTTTTGACGCTCCATACCATTTGTTTTCACTCTCTGTGCTTTCTTGACAACGAAACTGTACAACCTTGCAAAGATTGATCTACCTGCACTCGATGTGTTCCAGATTCTGTTGAGTTGACATCACGTAGTTGTTGTCAGCAAAGGTTAAATAAAATATTAGATTCTATCGTAAAAGTGAAATATTGCTTTATGCTTATTATCTTATCCATTGTAAGTGTGTAAAATTTTTTGATCTGTTTTTATTTTTTGCTTTTACCCACAGACTATCGTATAATTGCAAATCGTAAATGTTCATCTGCGTATGAGAATGCCGCATTACACTGTATTTTAGATTTTCAGAAGTGATGGGTCAATTTTTGGCAGGAAATTTCTCTTTTAGATCAGGTAATTTTCCAGTTTCTATAAACAGATATACTAGCAAATATTTGTCCTAGCCCATTTTCCAAGTTGGATTTCTAAGAAAAAACTGAACGAAAAAAAAATCTCAAATCTTTGCATGTTATTTTTCCTCTCCAAGGGTTCCGGAAGCGCGCCATCAGGGGTCGGCTTTGATGCTCTTTTGCCTTGAATAAACTCTTTTTATGGTTTTGGAAAAATCTACTTTCCATCACACAATATTCCAACGGTCAATAGTTGTTTTTCTCTTAATGGGGGCATAATTTTGCTAAGTAATGATTAAAGTAAATTAATCATTCTAAAAAGGAACGATCATTATATTCCAATCTTTAAAAACAAAAAATCTCCCTTTTGGCCTTCTTCACCAGGAGAATTGGGGTGTGCTTGATCCCGAAAAGGAACACCAGTATCACCATAGCCTCCATGCTTATCGTGTTGTTTATCAGATTGCACAATGGTCATCGTTGCAATGACCTTGTACTGTAGTCACTTCCATGCGGGTGGGTGCTGGCCTCGGATTTGTCTGATCCTCTTTGCTACCGATTAAGCTTTTAGTGCTTGCGCAGGGTGCTGAGGTGTTGATTTTGCCTACAACAATGGGGATGTACGGTACGACGTACGATCACATGGGTCAATATGAGCAACAAATTAGAACTGGGTACCCTCTAAAAACGTCCGGATCAGATTGACCCAGAATTGGGTCCCATTTGGTATAACCCTTTTCAGGGTCAAATTATGACCCAGAAAGGGTCAAATATGACCCGAAAGGGGGTCATATGTGGACTCAGAAAGGGTCAAATATGACCCGAAAGGGGGTCATATTTTGACCCAGAAAAGGGTCATACCGAATGGGACCCAATTCTTGGTCAATCTGATCCGGACGTTTTTAGAGGGTACCATTTCCTACACAACAGGAAATCTCTCACTGAGAGGTCTCCACGCTAGTTGCACTGTAATGCTTCCTTCACAGAGGCAAAGGCATATTTGCAACATTTGCTGAGGTCTTATGGGGTGTCAAAAAAGGTATCTAGTAGCTAGTTGTCCATGACCATCAATGCTCGCCTTAAAGATGGATTGAATTGAACAATCGGCCCCGACTTCTGCAGCATAATGGAGCGGTGTGCGGCCCAGCCTGTCCTGCTGGTTCAGCTTTTTACCCTGCATGGCTTTGGCCAGCAAGGATGTAAGTGTCGTGGGATCAAAATCTGTGGAGAGGCTGCTCGCAACCCGTGTGTCCATGCCAAAGACCCTGGAAGGAAAAAAATGCATTAAATGGCAAAGATGAGCACAATTAACAATTGCAGCCAGTGCTAAATGGCTAACCATAGACTTAAATTTTTATGTAGAAGTTGCGAAATTTGGAAAGTGTACTTAATCCATGTGAGGTCTCTTCTAAAGACCAATATTTAAAATATCCTGCTGAACACGGTATAAAAAGCTCTGTTTGAAAGTTAATTTACACACAGCCAGCCTACTAAAAACAAATCAGTTGATATTAGGATATTCTCAACACAAACATGAACTCCGATTCAAACTCCAATAGGCCTATTACATTGTTTCAAAAAATTAACACTACCATGTCCACACGCAGTTTCTTTTCAAAATACATATCCAATTCCACAGAAAAGCCGCGTTAGAAAGACTTCAAAAATCGTCCTTATGCACTTTCTGGTAGAATAGATGCCCCAAGACTATAGTCTTTGTCTTTAACATACCCATATTTGGTGAATGCATAATGGATGGGCAATCTGCCTAACTCGTCGGCAGCAAAGACGTCCAGTTTGTGGTCCAGGAGGAACTCCACGAACGTGGTGGACCCTTCGCGGTCGATCTTGTTGACAGCGGCATGCAAGACA